CGTTTATGTAAAGGAGATTTCGTGGACTGAGCCTTACTTTTTCATTCTTGATACTGAATGTTTAAAAACAGAATTATGAAATCAAGACCATGTGACAGTTTTAATAACTAGTTTAAAAATAAGTATAATGAAATTGGCTGGAATGTGGTATGTGCATGTATTTGTGTATATGTAGTATTAGTAATCCAGCTATGTTTTTTAAGATTTGTTGTCCTTAAAAAGGGGGCTGTTTTCTTTTCCCCATTTTAATTTAGGTACTAACCATTCTGATTTGGGAATATTACACTCAAAATTAGTTTCTGTTTTAGAAAATAAATAAGCATGGTTGTGGCAAATCGCTACTTGTATATTGATTTTGGATTTAGACAGGACAGCAGAGCTCAGGAAAGAACAAAGTGAAACAAAGAGGAAATAGGAAAAACAACTCTAGACCAATGCAAACCAATAGAACCCAGAAAATAAAGGAAAACACAACATGCTGTTATAAGTAAAAATAGCAGGTGAGACGCCTACCTTCCGTGAATAATAATGATTGAAATGGAATGATGAATACGTGGTGTTTCATCATGCTCATTTCTCTAATTTAAATCTATTTGAAATTTTCTGTAATAAACATTTTTTAAACAGACAGAAGGGATAGATGTTAACATTTTTTACATCTTTATGCTTGATTGTAATACTTGATAATTAAAAGTAAATTTATATAAAAAGAAGGCTTTCCACTTAGATGGTGAGGGGAAAAGTGGACGGTGTGCTAATGTTATGTGTAGCACCTGCCATGTAGGGTCAGGGAATTTGTTTTCCATGTGAGATTCCTGGCTAGCTCTAAGATTCTGTAATTCTATGAGGGATAAAGCTTTTTAGATGTGTTTATCTCCATCATGCCAGAAAAACCTGGCAGAGGCCATAAGTTCTTCAATTAAATCAAACTGTCAATGTTACAGTTGAGCTGGATATCCTAGCCTGACTCTCCACAGACACTATTGGTTGGATACTGTACTGTTGAAATCCCCAAGCTGATTCCAATTTCAGCTTAGCTGGATTGAATGTGGCCAGTAAGGGGTTGCACCGTGAGCTAAAGTAGAAAGGTAGTTATTTAGGCTGCTCTTCTGTGTTTTGAAAATCAGATTGACTCAACAAGAGTTTATGCTTAAATACATTGTAAATTATGTGCTCAGGATTTTCTGAGCACCATGGAAGAATCAAAAGAAGTAAGAGAGTTTCACACTGAGTAACTTAGGCTGAGTGACCAACTCGCATAAAATTATTAGTCATCTACCTGAGGCAGAGTGTGATGGAACACTAAATAGCAAGGTTTAAGACAAGACCCAGAAGGTCAGCCAGTAGAAGGGCAAAGAAGAATGGCACAATATAAGGAGGAGGAGGTAGAAACAGGTTATAGAAAGATGGATTGACCAGAGAGAGAGGAGTGGGAGGTGAGTGGAGTGGTGGGTACAAAACCCTGGGGTAGTTGTTGTAAACAAGAATGGAAGAAAACTCATTCAAAGGAAAAAATGGAAAATAAGTAGAAGCAGTGATTACAGGTCCCAACGAAACAAGAAATCAAGATTCCAAAGTAGAAGTGGAATGATGAGCTTTCAGGAAGGACTTAAGAATCAGATCTCCCAAGCCAGCAGGAAGAAAGAAAGGAAAGAGGTAAGAGGTCATATATATTATAGTATTATGCACTGAGGGAGAAAGTGTCTAAGGGAGTTCACACAAGATGACCTTAACTATTGTCCGTTACAAAGGCTCTGAGATCACCTAAACATAGTGGGAAGAGAGAGTACAGGCTTCAGGAGAAAGGAGCCCATCTAGATAGAGGTCAGCCATGGAGTGCATGCCGTATTTTAGAGGACACATAAATAAAGACCCACTGAGAAGCAAGAAGGCCAGATCAAAACCAAACATGCAATCATCTTTTATTCAACTAGTGTTTATTGAACATCTATTTTTCTATTCAACAGGCATTTTAATTATCACCCACTGTATGTCACATGCCAAGACAAGTCTACTTGCAAAGAATGCAGAGTCTATTAGAAGAGAGAGACATGGATGCAGTCAGGTCTAACCTTAGTGCATTCAGAGTAATGCCTGCTGTAATGAAGGCTCGTCTAGATGCTGTCGCTGACATGCAGTAAACAGTGAATTCAAGGAAGGCTTCACAGACCAAGCCCTAATAGAGGTGGACCTTAAGGAATGGGAAGGGAAGAAGAAAGGGTGGGAAAAGATGGTCTGTGCAAAAGGAATAAAAGTAATGTGTGAGAGAGCGTGCCATATATGGGGAGGTTTTGAGTGACCTGGTAGGTAGAACATGGGAGTTGTAGGAAGAATAGAGACAATAGGGTATTTACCTAATGGATCTTACTGCCAACATTCTTAATGCAAAGGGAACAAAATTGGCAGAAATGTAAACACGTGTGGACAGAATAGTCTTTACCTGCTTAACACAAGGATTTAACATAGGTCGCTCTTAAATTTTGCTTTATATTCCAATAGTGACTTTTTTTTTTCGTTTTTTTGAGACGAAGTCTCGCTCTGTTGCCAGTGGTGTGATCTCGGCTCACTGCAACCTCTACCTCCTGGGTTCAAGCAATTCTGCCTCAGCATCCTGAGTAACTGGGACTACAGTTGCACACCACCATGCCCAGCTAATTTTTGTATTTTTAATAGAGATGGGGTTTCTCCATGTTGGTTGGGCTGGTCTCGAACTCCGGACTTCAGGTGATATGCCAGCTTTGGCCTCCCAAAGTGCTGGGATTACAGGCACAAGCCATTGCACCTGGCCTCCAATAGTGACTTTTAATATACTAAACTACCCTTGAGCATTATGAGTGCTTATAAATTTCAATGCAGTATTGAGAAACATGAATATGCTCATTTTGAGCCAATTTCAGTATCTGTTTCTATTTGGAGCTAATTTTGGAGAACTGGTTTTTGGAACACCTCACTTCCATATCATATAGAGTAGCTTGGGAGGAAACACTGCTCTCATCTTGCTATAATTTCCCCCAACTAGAAGAAAGATCAGTTTTGTTTTGTTTTGTTTTTCCTAAGACAGGGTCTCACTTTGTTGGCCAGGCTGGAGTGCAGTGGTGCAAACATGGCTCACTATATCCTCCACCTCCCGGGTTCAAGTGATTCTTCTTCCTCAGTCTCCAGAGTAACTAGGACCACAGGTGGACACCACCATGCTTGGCTATGTCTTTTTTTTTTTCTTTTTTAAGAGACGAGGTCTCACCATGTTGCCTATGCTGGTCTCAAACTTCCGGGGTCAAGCAATCCTCAGCCTCCCAAAGTGCTGGAATTACAGGCGTGCACCACTACACTTGGCCAGTTTTGCTTTTTGTCTTCTCTAAACAGCAGGGGGTTTTCTTCCTACTTACTGAAATGTATCTATTTCTAAAATGTTATTACTTGTATGGGATTTTAAAAACAGATGCCTGTTAATGTCCATAATGAAAATGAGGAATTTAAAGCTGTGTAGGGCCTGTCTTGACACTTTCTTAAAATTGAGAACATGCATTATGCACCCTGGCTCTTTTCCAAAAAACTGCCCTCAAGAAGTTGTGTACATTTCATTTTCATGTTAGTCCCCAGGGGTGGAAGTTGTCCAGGCCACTCCATCACACTCTTCTTAATACTTGTAATTTAATGCTGGGCACTTCAGTTAACAACATAGAGAGAATTATGCTGTGGTAATTGTGGAAGTATGTGGTGAAACAGCTGATTTTAAAATTTTAATCCACTCTAAATATGCGTTGCACCCTTACAAAATTAGCCTCTGATTCTTTGTGGCCTTTGGAAAATGTATTTAGTATGCTAAAGTTTTTAGAAAAAACATTCTGAAATTTTCTTTTTCACTCGAGCTCTTGTTTTTCTTCCCTTTCGCAGCACATGACTTTTGTTATTCTAAGAATTGATACTGGAATCTGCATTTATTGGAAAGATAGAACAATGGTATCAGTTAATTCTGGTAAAACAGTAGATGTCACAGAAGATGTGCTCTAGGCAGTAAAGCTATACAGTTTGTGTTTTTTCTGGTTCTAAATCAGAAGGTATTATTTTCTTTTTCAGCTGAACCCTGGGTGGCCCCATCTAACACTTTTGGATTTCAGCTGGCTTTTATTTCTATTGTATTTGAATGAAGAATCAGGAAATTCTATTGGGATTACTTATCTTATGGTTATGTTGAGATTACAGAGACACTACATACTACATACGTTTAATGATGTTTTTAGGTTTTCTGTTCTTTGTGAGCCTCTTTGTGTGTCTCTTTCATGACTTGCATATGAGACAGCTGAGGAAAAAACAATCTGTATGTCGTTTCTCAATCTATACTTCCTTTGGCATTTATGCCTTGCATAAATATACCGAAATATGATTTTTTAAAAAAAGGGTGGGGGCAGGAGGGAGAGGAAGAAATAATAAGCATCAATATATGCAGAGCACCGAGTCAGATGCTGGGGAGGTTACAAAATGATTTATAGGCTCTGTCCTGGAATAGAAGGTAACATACGAACAAGTAAACTCACAAGAAGTTAGTAAGATCAGGACACAGAGTGTTCAAATGCAGATAAGTAAGGCTAGTGAGCTACCAGGGGAAGTCATTGTGGCCTGAGTGTTTAAGCTTTTGGAGAAAGAGATACAGACTTTGACAGCCAGAGGTGCCCCCTACTAACTCACAAAGCTTTGCCTGCCCCTGGGCATGTGTCTGCTCTCAGTGAAGAATACCAGTTTCCCCGTTCCTTGTGTGTCATTATTTTCTACTTGTTAAGAAGTGTTTAGTTTGGCGAAAACATGCCTATATGCTTAACATGCCTGTCTTACCTCTTTTGTGATAAATGAACCAAATTGCATTCTTATTTTCTGTTTGACAGTGACAGCTGTCCCAAATTCAGTTCAGGCCCCTTGGACTAAGAACACTTGTGATGTTCATTTATCCACAATGTATCATTCTTAGAGAAGATCAGCCTTACCCATATTATTTCCTTTTTCAGACAAATGGACACCTACCTGGGAACGGAGATGTGTATCAAGAAAGGCTGGCACGTTTAGAAAATGATAAAGAATCCCTCGTTCTTCAGGCAAGTGATTTTTAAATATTATTCTTTCCTTGCAGCATACTTACAAAGACTGTTTTAAATTGGAGTGGCAAATTCAGAATGCTTGCAGCAACCGGACTGCTAATAGAAATAAGCATGGTAAGTCATTCTGTACACAATAGGGAGTGCTGAGGACTGGGACAGAATGATGGTGTGTACACCCAGTTTAAAAGGAGCTGCCATTAGTCAACCTCAGCTCTTTCAGGGCCAGTCTGAATACAGGCACAATGTCATCTGATCTGGTTTTTTTTGGAGGCAGGGTCTTGTTACATTGCCCAGGCTAGTCTTTAACTCCTAGGTTTTAGCAGCCCTCCCATCTGAGCCTCCCATGTAGCTGGGATTGCAGGTGTGCAGCACCATGCTTGGCTGGATCTGATTTTTAAATATATCTTATTATATAGCAGAAATTCAGATATATGAATTTAGTATAAAATCTGAATATATATAAGTTTATATTTCTGAATCTGAAATATGAACATATATATGTAATTTTTCTGTGAATTTAAAAGTGATACCATGGCTGAGACAAAACACAACAGTGTGTAGAATCCTCCTTGTGGGCTACATTTGAGTTTGCTTCTTCATAATGTTTTAAATGTCTGACAAACATTTTTCTTTGGTATACTGAGCAAAATGAATTGAAGTATATTTACAGGGTGATGATTATTGAGGAAAAACTCAAAGATCTGCTATAAGCAGTAGAGTTGAAGGACTAACCCAACAGCTCCTCATGGACCTTTGAGTCTAATGAGTTGCCTCCAGCTTTGAACACATCTGTGATCAGTGTCATCTTGAAAGAGATCATGGAATTTGAATTCCCTTGGTCTATCTTTCTTTCTTTCCTTTCTTTCTTTCTTTTCTTTTTTGAGACAGAGTCTCATTCTGTCGCCCAGATGGGAGTGCAGTGGTACAAATCATGGCTCACTGCAACCTCCACCTCCCAGGTTCAAGTGATTCTCCCACCTCAGCCTCCCAAGTAACTGGGATTATAGGTGCACACCCCACACCCAGCTAATTTTATATTTTTAGTAGAGACGGGGTTTTGCCATGTTGACCACGCTGGTGTTGAACTCCTGACTTCAAGTGATCCGCCTGCCTCAGCCTCCCAATGTGTTGGGATTACAGGCATGAGCTACCGTGCCTGACACCCCCTGGGTTCTTCTTCTCATTCTTCTTGAAGTATCAAATTTTAATAGTTCTTAATGATTTCTATTTCAAACATTAACTTCGTTTCCTCTCTTCTAATACTATCTGCACCCTGGCCCCCAAAAAGATGACTTCTGTGCACATTCTCTTTCATAAATGGTTGAAGTAGCTGTAACCAAAAAGTATTGTACATTCCTAATCTACACTAATTTTCTCCAAATTATATAGGACTCTTTAAATTAAATAGCAACATATAAATAGAAATGCAAAGGACTACTTGTATTTCTCAGATTTTGTTTTCTTTACAATCGTATGAGTGGTAGGATCATTTCCCTTTTTTTTTTTTTTGTCCCATTTAGAGAAATAACATATGCAGTGGGACTCAAATTCTTTCTCACTCATTGCAATATTTTGCTCTAAATACAGGTAAGTGTGTTAACAGACCAGGTGGAGGCTCAGGGGGAGAAGATTCGAGATTTGGAGGTTTGTCTTGAAGAGCACAGAGAGAAGTTGAATGCCACAGAAGAGATGCTGCAGCAGGTATGTGACGAGGCTAGAACCAAGATGGGATTTCCCTGCCGAACTATTTGAGATGCTGCATTTCAATGTTGTGTTTGCTCTGATGCCGCAGTAAGTTTCCTGATTCTTTTAGACCAGCACATTTTAAACAAATATCGAGAGTAGCAGAGTCTCAAAATATATACATACAATATAAAGTGTTTATGTAATTAGAATCCAGAATAAAATGACAATAGGATTGTGGCTTATTTTAATTTTCTTTTTTTTTTTGCATTCAGATTGTTTCCTCTCACCCATAAGCATATGTTTTATAATTAAGAAAAAAGATAATAGTAAAAAATCTAAGGATCCAATTTAAAAATGGGCTAAAGATTTGAATAGACATTTCTCAAAAGAAGACATACAAATGGCAAACAGGCATATGAAAAGATGCTCAGTGTCGTTCATCATCAGAGAAATGCAAATCAAAACTATAATGAGATACTATCTCACCCAGCTAAAATGGCTTTTATCCAACAGACAGGCAGTAACAAATGCTGGCAAGGATGTGGAGAAAAGGGAATCCTTGTACACTGTTGGTGGGAATTAAATTCATACAGCCACTATGGAAAACAGTTAGGAGGTTCCTCAGAAAACTAAAAATAATACTACCATATGGTCCGGCAATGCCACTGCTGGATATATGCCCAAAGGAAAGGAAATCAGCATATCGAAGAAATATCTGTGCTCTTGTGTTTGTTGCAGCTCTGTTCACACTCACCAAGATTTGGAAGGCACCTAAAGGTCCATCAACAAATGACTGGATAATGAAAATGTGGTACTTATACACAATGGAGTACTATTCAGCCATAAAAAAGCATGAGATTCAGTCATCTGCAGCAACATAAATGGAACTGGAGGTCATTAGGTGTGAAATAAGCCAAGCACAGAAAGACATACATCTCATGTTCTCACTTATTTGTGGGATCTAAAAATAAAACAATTGAACCCATGGAGCTAGAGAGTAGGGGGATGGTTACCAGAGGCTGGGTAGGGCAGTGGGGGGTCAAGGGAGAGGTGGAGGATGGTGAAGGGCTCTAAAATAATAGTTTGAATGAATAAGGCCTACTGTTTAGTAGCACGTCAGGGTGACTATAATCAATAATGATTTAATTGTGCATTTGAAACAAGAGTATAACTGGATCGTTTGTAACACAAAGGACAAATGCTTGAGAAGATGGCAACCCCATCTTCCATGATTATTGCATGTTGCATGCCTGTATCAAAACATCTCATGTACCCCATAAATGTATATATCTGCTGTGTACCCACAAAGTAAGAAAAAAATTTGAGTACCATCTATAACATACAGGAGAGGCTCCGTAAGGCCGTGGATGGAGGGCGCACTGGAGCAAAACCTCGTAGGTTTCCATTCCTGCTGTGCCTTTATTTTTTTTTCCCCCTGTATGACATTAGGCAAGTTCCTAACCTCTGTGTTACTAAGTTTCCTCATACTTTGATTAAGGATAATAAGAATTTCTACCTGATAAGATTTTTGTGAGGATTAAAACAGTATATGTCACCGTGGGTGCCTGGCATATAGCAAACAGTATCATCATCATCATCAACGTCATTGTCAGACTGAAGAATATATATGGTTCATGCATGTGTATCTACATAACTTATGTTTTCCTCAGGAAACTGACATGTGCTTATTTCTGCTCAAAGGAAGGTAACTAAAGTGAATAAATTTTTATTTTATTTTATTTTTGAGACAGTCTCACTCTGTTGCCCAGGCTGAAGTACAGTGGCACGATCTCGGCTCACTGTAACCTCTGCCTTCTGGGTTCAAGTAATTCTCCTGCCTCAGCCTCTCGAGTAGCTGGGATTACAAGCACCTCCCAGTACACCTGGCTAATTTTTCTATTTTTAGTAGAGACAGGGTTTCATCATATTGCCGAGGCTGGCCTCAAATTCCTGACTTAAAGTGATCTGCCCGCCTCGGCCTCCCAAAGTGCTGGGATTACAGATGTGAGCCACCACACCCAGCCTCAAGTGAATAATTTTTTTAAACTGTGTATATTTAGTAATTATACTTTAGCACATCCTCTACTTGATAGGTGCTGCTTTGCAATCATAAATAAGGTAAATTTACATGTGGCTGTTCATAATAAAAGAATTTTTGAATGTCTCTTTTAAATTCCAATAGGAGCTTCTGAGTAGGACATCCTTAGAAACTCAGAAGTTGGATCTGATGGCTGAAATATCTAACTTGAAGTTGAAACTGACGGCTGTAGAGAAGGACAGATTGGATTATGAAGATAAGTTCAGAGACACAGAGGTAAGTGATACAATCTCTCTCTCTCTGGGTCACTCTGTCTGTCTCCCTCACAAACATACATTCCTAGGGAAAAGTTGAAATTCCCTGGAGGTGTACAAGGAAGGCAGTTAATTGCTGTGTCTCCTCATCGTGCTTCATTTTAAGAGTAATCTTGGATTATATTGAGTTTTTATCACTAAATGCTAATGTCAATTTTTATTTCTACATTTTTGATATGCAATATTAATTCTTTCATCAACCTTTAAAATACTTTTGACTTTCTGATATTTGGAGCATCTGTCCATCCATACTGGTTTTCTTAATTTTGTAAATAATGGGCTTAAATGCATGGTTTTACTAGTAGTTATTATTTAGGCACACTGACTATTTGCTATGCAATTGGATTTTTAAAATCTGTGTAGAAAACATGCTAACATTCTGTAATCACAAAACCACAGAGCTTTTTCAATGTCTTTTAATTTGACTTTCTATTTTTGGTCTAATCCACATGTAAATCATTCTAATTAAATAAGACTTGCTGCACTTCTGCGAACCTCAGGGTACATTCTATAACTTGAAGTATCCAGTTTAGTGGCTAAACAAGCTTTACAGTTTGTTCTATTTTATTAATTCAGGCCTTCTAGTTTGTTTGCTGTGTGACATTTGGCAAGTTCTTAACCTCTGTTGTTTTGTTGGTGGAGGGAGAGAGCACATCCATTTGAAATATATTCATTTAAAATGAAGTATAAAGAGCTGCAGAAATTTCTTCTCTCTGCAGGCCCTCTCTCCTCCTTTTTTTTTCTTTGTATTTTGTTTCCTTAGTAGGAGTATGGGAAAGTGTCACGCTGGATTAGAAAATGGGTACCAAGGAGAGAGGAGAGAAAATGGTTTACTTATTTTCCTCTTCTGTGTTTATTTCAAACATGTATTTCATGCTGACTCTATGCCAGCATGGTACCTGGCATCACATACATTACCCACTATAGGGAAGTCCTTTATAGATCTGGAAATAAGAAGGTTTACTCCACTGCTGTTTTAAAAATTAAATTTTCTGTCAAAGATTCAACTGTAGTGGAATGTCTTGGTATATGTCTCGTTACTGCAGTAGCAAAATTCATTTGGTTCATGTTTTAATCTCTCTTTTTTTTTTTTTTTTTTTTTTTTTTTTTAGATGAGCTCTCACTGTGTTGCCCAGGCTAGTCTGGAACTTCTGGCCTCAAGCAACCCTCTCATTTTGGCCTCCCAAAACACTGGGATTATAGGCATAAGTCACCATGCCCAGCCGTGTTTAATCTTAAAACTCTTTGTCAGTTGCCTATATGAGCATGTTTCTCATTTGATCAAAGCTGGGGATCTCAACACAAGACTTAGAAAGTTACCCAATTAAAAATTCTTGCTTTTGTGCTTTCTCTAAAAATCTGTTGATATTTTCCTCTTTCCCCTCTTTTTGTCAGGTCATAACCCCATCGTCACTGTGTGAGGTAATAGTAAAACTGTCAACAAATGGACACATGGCAGTGGCGCTGGCTCTGCTGCAGGGAAGAATTTACAGTAGATGTGGATAGGGGTAGTCTTCTACATTGTGTCTGCAAAGTCAGGGGGAAATCTTCATCTATTGTTAACTTAATCTGGGTATGAGATGCTAACCAAGTGTTGGCATTAAACTGCAGTAGATGTGTTCTTTATTTATTTTTGTAAGACCCCAGGGCAATATTTACATCCCCTGAGTCTGACTGCTTTTTTTTAATCAAACTTTTTTTTCTCCACTTTCTCATTATTTCATGCATGCTCTCTCCAGTCACATGTAAAGTGATCTGTCATCAAACTTCTAGTACACTCAATCCCTGATAATCTTCTATTAAAAATTCAGTGTTATTGCTAAAACATATGTGCATACTGGAGATTAGAGACTATGGTAAACTTAGTGATGTTACATATGAAAATAATTAAAATAATCTTCACTATTAAACTAACTTGAATATTCTCATGTTCCTGTTATCGTTCACTTAATAAAAATATTTTCCTAGCTGTTTCATGAATCCATAATATTTAACTTTCTCTTAGAATTTTATATTATTTAAATATTAATTTCCGATAAAATAGTGTCATGGGGAAGAAGTAGAGGCATTTCCAAAGGACTAAGGGTAAAAGTTCTTAAACTTTGGAAGATTCAGGACTTGCTTGTCCCTGGAATTGCTAATGGGAGATGGTTGGCATCATTCAACAGTGCCCCCTTCTGGTAAGAGCATAGGTATTAGAGACAGTTCCTGAGAGGCGCCCTGAAGAGTCCTCTCAAAGGGAAAAGGGAAAAGAACAGGGATTTTCTTTTTCAAAAGGACTGAACTTCTGGTAAGAAATTGACTGAAATAATTTGTATTTCATTTTATAAAGTTTTACATTAGGGAGCTATTTCCAGATTTTCTAGCTTGTGTTGTCAGGGGAAGATATGATTTATTTCAGATTGGAAATGTAGACCATATGTAAATACTGCCATGAAATATAGTTGAATCGTTTTTGTTAAAACAGATAAATTATCCCAGTTTATAATTCCATTTTTTTTCCCATAGTTTCTTCTTTGCACATTGCCGCTGTTTCTCAAGGAAGCTGTAACATATAATAATAGCAGACAGGAATTGACTGCTATTTCTTAACAATGAGAAAGTGGGAAAATATGTATTTTAAAAGATCATATTGACAAAGATGACGAAGGACTCATATTATTCAAGGATGATTAGTTTCAAAAACTTGGAAAAGCTGATTTTTTCTTTGAACTTGAATTCTGACCTGTTAGAGGAGGAATCACAAATATTTTATTGAATAATGTCAAGCAGTTCTTGAACTAATTCATAAGAAGATGATCGATATCATCTAAGTGAAATATTGTATGATTATTAAGTGTTTATTAAGGAGAAATTGTATAACTATGATAGGTAATACTTTGCCCATTTTATAAGAGACTACAATTTAAAGTCTGTGGGTTTACTGGAAAGTGTATTTCGCTGTAGCATCCCTTCTTTTAACCTTTGTGAACTTGAATCATTGCACTTGGAAGCTTAAAATAATCCCTATTCACAAAGTTGTATTTCTTATAACATTGTTCTACTTGTAATATTTGGCATTCTTGGATAATTTTGTCCTGTAATATATGAATTTGTGACCCAGAAATACATGCATGTCTTTTTAAAAAGAGAAAAGCTGGCTGGGCACAGTGGCTTACACCTGTAATCCCAACACTTTGGGAGTCCGAGGAGGGCAGATCACTTGAGGTCAGGAGTTTGAGACGAGCCTGGTCAACATGGTGAAACCCCCATCTCTACTAAAAATATAAAAATTAGCTGGGCATGTTGACAGGTGCCTGTAATCCCAGCTACTCAGGAGGCTGAGGCAGGAGAATCGCTTGAACCCTGGAGGTGGAGGTTGCAGTGAGCTGAGATCGTAGCACTGCACTCCAGCCTGGGAGACACAATGAGACTCTGTATTAAAAAAAAAAAAAAAAAAAAAAAAGGGAAAAAGAGAAGCAAAACTATAGTAACCATTGTAGGGATCTTTGTGGCTTGTAGTAAAATATAAGTCATTTCCCATGCAGGGTATTTGAGTGTCTCTTTTGGAGGAGTTAATATTGTGTAACACTAATTTCCTTTCTACTCTCTGGGCCCTGGACAAAAATACACCACTACTTCTCAGAATACTCGGACAGGTTTTATGAGCAAATTGGTTCTTTAAAAAGTGGTACTAAAATAAAATAAAAAGTGGCTGTAGAAGAGGTACAAAATCATGTTGTGTCATGTAAACATTGGCATTGGTTTCTCTTATTTTCTAATTATAAAATTAGGTAAAAGGCAGGGCCCTCATCCACTTTCGAGTTGAGAATTGTCATCAAACTTATAATAAACTCCATCCCTGATAATATCCTAATAAAAATTCAACACTATTGCTAAAATGTATGCACATACCCAGCAATTAGAAAACTGTTGATAAACTTTGTGATGTTATATATGAAAATAATTGAAATAGTCCTCAAAATTAAAATGAGTTTGAATATTCTCATGTTCCTGTTATTCACTTAATAAAAACAAAACAGTTTTCCAGGCCATTTCATGAATCTTAAGGATTCGTGGGCTTAAAGGATTTAATTTTCATTCCAGTCTCCCATATTGGGTTGATGAGCGATCCATATTTTTGTGGACAAAGGAAGAAATTATAATTTTTTTTAATAGCCATATATCACTGAGAAGGTTCAAAAGGTAAATGGCTTTACTAAAGAACATGATATATTTAAACCATGAAATAGCATTCTATTAAATAGCACTCTATGAAATAGCAGAGAGTCATTTTTAGGATAGAAATATCTGACAAATAATAGAATTTCTTAATCAGAATTGCAGTCACCTTTTATTTTCATAAGCCCATCACCTTAGGGCAGAGGCATTGGGGATTTAAAGGAATGTTTTAAATGGAAACATGCTTTGGTTCTTAAGGAGGTACATGTATTTCCATTTGTCTCATCTGATTCATACAACTTTAACCCTAGGCGCTGGTGACTTCTTAGGATTTCCAAGCTGCTCCTTTATAGGTATAAGTAACTGTGTTGCCACTTTCCTGATGTACTTTCTTCTTTCTTCTTGGACAGGGGCTGATTCAGGAGATCAATGATTTGAGGTTGAAAGTTAATGAAATGGGCAGTGAAAGACTTCAGTATGAAAAAAAGCTTGAATCAACCAAAGTAAGCTTTTCTTATAGGTTAACCTTTTCAGACAAATGACTCCACTATTAATCTATGACCAATAATATAAGTAAGATGTTTTCTACTTAATGTATGATAAAGAAAGTATTTTAAAAGTAAATGAAGCTTTCCCCGAAGCTGGAAACCTTCTTGAATTTAAACACCACCGATCTGAATTTAAAAACAAGGCTTAACTCACCTGACAGAACATAACCTGCCCTTTCTCTGAGTTGTATCTAACCTCTTTTATAAATGGATACTATTTTCTTGGTTATTTAGCTTGTCTTTTTCTCTGTAGTTTTCTTTCACTCCTCTGTCTCTCTACCAGTCTTTAATGGCCAAACTTTCTAGCATGAAAATCAAGGTGGGTCAGATGCAGTATGAAAAGCAGCGGATGGAACAAAAATGGGAGTCACAGAAGGTGTAGTAGACGTTGGGTGATGGGGTCCATGGCCTGTTGCTTTCTGGCTTGTGTTGTTTTGCTGTGATGATGTTTTTAGTGGCATGTGCATTCATTCCGTATGTGTGTCACCTGTTGATTAGAAATCATCTCAAGCTGCTTGAAGGGATAATGGGATCCCTGATGTTGTTTTCAGAAACCGTGAAATAGTGAAAAATAATAACAAGTAAAATGAAAAAAATTATAAATTAAATTTAACTCTCTTAGACTGAGACCCAAGCCTAGTTAAATAATTATAAACATTCACCTGTGAAAGAATTCTGTTTTGTATCTGCAGTAGAGATCACTTTCCTCTTTAGGGACTTTCTTGAAGGTACAGCAGTTGACATTATCATGGCTGTGAATAGAAATGACTGCTGAGAAGCAGCTCGGTGAGAACAGGTTCGCACTTCCTGCCAATGCTGCTGAAAAATGTTCAGATCTTGTCCGCTCTGTTCTTACCAGAGATCAAAACTATAAGGCCAACTGCCTCGCTTCACTGGAGAACTACATCTTCTCATAGTACTAAATGTAATAAATATATTTTTAGAGATTCTGAAAGTAAAGTGTAATATCGAATATAAAGCCATACTTCTTAGAACTGCGTAGCTGTTTTCTGTGTTAAATAGAGCCAGCAAAATGTGTTTGCTAACGCTAATTCTTTACTGAAATGCAACTGAAAATTTAAGCGTTAGTACATAGAGGGATGGACTTGAAATCTTCTACGTTGTATGGTTAAAGAGTAGAAGAGGGCTTAAATATCTGTTTTCTAAATTTATTTTTTCCCATTTTTATAGGAGATTCTGTCCTTTTATCTTAGTGATGAGGGTGAATTATTTAGTTCCGTGATTTGGCTTATTCATGACTTGCTGCCTTACCCATTAATGAAAGTCTCTGCTTGTCAAGGAAGCATGAGTGCCATCTTGAAATGCCGAATAAATGTCAAGCTAGTCTTTTTCATTCTGCATTTTATTTGGCGTTTATGACACTAAGTATCTAATTTGATTATCTTCCTTGATTAACTTTGTTGTAGTTTTTAATTTACCGTAAGATTTAAACCTTAGTGCTATCCCATCCCTAATTGTACTTTAAAAGATCTCTTTTTAATTTGATTACAAAGAAACTTGAAATAATTACACCATAACTATTATAAATGGGACCTCCGCTAATAGTCTTGCTTCCTGCTTTTCGTTGACTTTGATTTCTGATGCTTGCCTCTAAATTCTTGTAGATTTTCTTTCATTCATAAAATCTGATTATTGATTTAAAGAGCTAATATACTCTCTGAATGTTCTCTTTTAGTTATGATCTGCTGATTTTAAATGAATTTGTAACTCCTAGGATGAACTGGCATCTTTAAAAGAACAACTAGAAGAAAAGGAATCTGAAGTAAAAAGACTGCAAGAAAAATTGGTTTGCAAGATGAAAGGAGAAGGGATTGAAATTGTTGATAGAGGTAAGAAGATATATTTCATATTTATCATCTTATTTTGTTAAAGTCCTCCAAAATCTATAAAAGAAACTGATGATAGGCAATGTGTAGTTTTAACCTCAAAGAAAGAATTGCAGAATCCAGCCAGGCCCAGAACCACAGGGAATTCTCCAAGATTCTTTACTGTGACTGGGAATTCATTAACGTCCTCTTTAGCAGCTGGGAAAGGGGAATTCCATACTTTATTCAGTATTGAAGATTACTAGACTATAAATTCTCATCACAAGAATGGACTGGTCTTGATTACAATGCAAGGGAATGCCAAAAGAGTTAAAAAGAACCGTCACTATCCAGGATTGTTGCCCTCAGAACTGAAATGAGATAAAGTAAGGGCTTAGAAACTGTTCTCTCCCTTTTGAGAGGGGAAAGACGGCTCTGTAGATTTGGAAAAATTAGTAAAAAATTTATACCAGGGATTGAGCCCGTTACCTTTTAGAAAGCAAAAATAGACTAATTCCGTTTTTGGAAAAATGCCTTGATTTGTCCAAATTTTTTTTATAACTGAAGAGGTTTATTCTGAGTATTATATGGACCATAATTTCTAATAAAGTAGGTTGTACATGATAAAAAAAAATTGCCTGAATGAAATATATTTTAAAATTATATTTGGAAATATAATGTACTTAACACCTGACAACACTCGGTTAAATTTAACCTTTCTGTATGATTACGAATGATGACTGTGGCACTGTGAGATACCAAAGCAATTTCTGAGTCATTCAAAACAGTATAAATTCCAGTTAGTGTAGCTTTGTTACATGTTTATCTGTTATATGAAAATCAGTAGCATTATTGTCTGTCCAATGAGGGACTTGAAATCGATAATCTCTGAAGTCCTTTTTGGCTCTAGAATCCCATGGCCTTATATACCTGTAGGTATCACAGTTCCCTGTCTGTCAGAAAATTCATCAAACCTGAGGGAAATGGATTCTCACCCCCAACCCTTTTCTGCCCAATCCACATCACCTGCTATACAGCATATATAGAATTGTGTATTGAAAAGGGACATTCAGAAACAGGTCATACTGATCATGCTTTTATGGTTTTAAGAATCAAATGGACTGGGCACAATGGCTCACATCTGTAATCCCATCACTTTGGGAGGCTGAGGAGGGAGGACTGCTTGAGGCCAGGAATTCAGAACAAGCCTGGGCAACACAATGAGACCCTGTTTCTACAAACAAACAAAAATATCATTTGAAAGTTTTAAGTTTCAAATTTCACCAGGCATGGTGGCTCACTCCTGTAATTTCAGCTACTTGGGAGGCTGAGCAGAGAGGGTCACTTAGGCCCAGGAGTTGAAGGCTGTAGTGTGCTATGATGGTGTCACTGTACTTCAGCTTGGGCAATGGAGCAAGATCCTGTCTCTAGGGAAAAAAAAAAAAAAAAAAAAGAATAAAATGGCATCACAGGACCTGTGGGCTAGAAGATATTAGAGTAATGCCACCCAAAGTCTGATCTGAGACTGGAACCAACCTGGCAACTGTGTGTTACCAGTGCCCACCAGCTAAATACGGGGATTGAGAGCAAGTCTTTAGAAACCTCATGTCAAGGTGATATTGGGATGGCATCTAACTGCATCCTCAGTGGACTCATCTCATTGGACAGGAGATAGATCCTTTCAGTGTTGTTGAACTTGAGTGGTGAGTTGCATGTAACACAAGTAGCACTCTAGTTACCTTCGGGAGGACCAGGTATCAAACTGTGGTGGAAATATAAAAACAACCGAAGTGACGTTAACTAGTTGTTCATTTATGGTATAAGAAACACTTGTACTCCATAAACCTAATTTTAATGTGAGAAAACCAAGGTCCAGAAAGATGAAGTGAGAGAGGTAGTTATTCAAATTTAAGTCTTATATTTTCTTTCTAACTTCACACAGAGCATTATTGTCTACAGTATGTCTACAGTCACAAAATAGTACTGAATACGTTTTTATAAGGTTAGATTTCCTTTATTTTAGATAAAAGGAAACTAAATAATAGTGATTTGAAAGTATTTATTGTTGTAATATATGCTAACTTCCAATTCGATGGGTTTTCCTGCACAGATGAAAATTTTAAAAAGAAGCTCAAAGAAAAAAGTAAGGTTTGGTGCATTTCCATCAGCCTTTACATTCACCAAAAATACTACCTTGGACTGTTCTTTGCATGTATTTTAAAATATTTCTGTCACCAAAGATGTAAAGTTGCTTCATCAATAAGCCCTCCATTTCTTCAGAGTGTACAAAATAGAGGGTGGATAATAAAACAATAAGGTAAAAGATTATTTTGAAGATTTTGTCTGATTAAACCCTTCCACTCTACAGGGTACAGCAGGGCACCCAGCATTGTGGATATAAGAAAACATTTTCCCTGCAGTTTAGGTGATACAGGGTCAGAGGAGAAAATCACTTTTATACTATGAAAACTCAGAATTTTAAAGGTTTGCCAGAACTGAAAGATAATTTTGAAATTTGCTTTTGCCTTTCAGTGTTTTGAAGTCTGCTATTTGTCTGAGATCCTATTTGTCTAGAAACTCCTTTGAACATATTCTCTTATTACAACAGAGATTATATCCAGCTTATTAATAGAACCTGATTATTTAATGCAACATCAAGATAAATCCTGCCACACATAGTGGGAGGATCGCTTTGGAGGCCAGGGATTCAAAACCAGCCTGGGCAACATAGCAAGATCCTGTCTCTACAAAAACATTTTTAAATTAGCTGAGGATGATGGTGCATGCCTATAGTCCCAGCTACTCAGGAGGCTGAGGTGGAAGGATCACTTAAGCCCCAGGCATCTAGGAGTTTGAGGCTGCAGTGAGCTATGATCTTGCCATTGTACTGCATCTGGGCAACAGTGAAACCCATCTCTTAAAAAAAAGAAAATTAACTCCTTAGGGGCTCTTTTCCTCAGACATTAAATTCTCAATTCCTATAGAATATATTTTAATTTAAAATGTTACAGCAGTGCTGAATGATGCACCACTGTTTTAAAAATTATCTTAAGAAGAATGGGTGTGGTGGCTCACTCCTGTAATCCCAACTCCTCAAGACGTTGAGGTGGGAGGATCACTTGAGCCCAGGAGTTCAAGGCTACATTGAGCTGTGATTGTGCCATGAACTCCACCTGAATGACAGAGTAAGACCCTGTCTCTAAAGAAAATATTATCTTCAGTAATAATTTTTTTCTCAGAAGTAGGCAACTTTAGCAGATTTGTTTTTTTCTGTTTCAATTTTTTAGTTTGTGATTTCACTTTTGAGTGACTTTTCATTTATTTATTTATTTGAGACAGGGTCTTGCTATGTTGCCCAGGCTGTTCCCAAACTCCTGAGCTCAGTCCTCCCACTTCAGCCTCCCAAAGTGCTGGGATTACAAGCATGAGCCACCACACCAGGCCCTGGGGTGACTTTTCATCTTTAAAATATTTAAGGTTTTTATTATTCAAGTAACATGCTTTTGTAATTGAATATCAAATTTTAAGGAGAATCACATTCCGCTTACTTTGGCCTTTATGTCTTGAAGTCTATCTTAAGGCAGTATTGGAAATGAAGTTTATAGATGAAGCAAAGTACTTATTATTCTTATGTATGGAACCACAACCAGCTTCTTAGCATGACTACTCATGTAAATACTACACTCCATCAGGCTCTTACCATTCATGTCTCCATCTTGGTTATAACTATCATTTTCTCTGCTTTTGTCTTTGTATATACCATTCATGACTTTCATGCACTGCTTTATAAATTCCTTTTTTAAAAACATTATGTGTTTATTACTATAGCACTGAAATTTCATCTTCAGTGTTCTCATGAAGATTCTCTTGCTGCTTTAAGAGAGGAGAGCTAGTTCTCACATACCCTTGTTTTCTTTCTAGAATGGCCGCTGTTCAGGTGAGAGAAAAGACGTCCATCTTTTCAGATTTTTTTAAAAAGAGAATATGGATGTTAAATGTGCCCTTTTAAAGAATAAATAAAAGAAATCATTAACATCTTTACCTTAAAACATTTCAGTCTGGAGAGTAAATGACTTATTCTCACTGTCACACATGTTAACTAAACTGACTTCTGATTTGATGTTATTTTCAGACGTCGAAGTACAAAAAATGAAAAAAGCTGTGGAGTCTTTGATGGCAGCAAATGAAGAAAAGGTATCCAGATGAAATTTAAATATACATGTAGATGTTTTTTAACACCATTTCGACCATTCCATGCAGTTTCATGAGCTATCCCATTTTAAAAGAGCATTCCCAGAACACTGCTAGCAGTGAGGGGCAGATGTGCTCTCTCCACCCAGCTGTGCTGTGTGCACAGGGATATGGAGCAGCAGCACGGGCTCCACTGAGAACTGCTGCCCCCGTGAATTCAGGAAATGTTCAGCCTGTCTGATCAGTTCCACATATTCAGGTGGCATATAAGAGAGAGGGTACATTCCATAGTATACCCTGTCTGTGGGCACTGAAAATTCTGGGCTGACCTGCAGGCTCTGAAGGAGGGAGCTCGTGAAACCCTCAGCTTCAGGGTCATGGTAATTTTCTCCTCCATTTAGTCATTATTTCCTTTACACTCCTGGCCTGTTTCACATCTGTGATTGTCTCTGCTCTCCTGAGAGAGTAAATATCAGAAAACAGCGGCATGGGCTTTACTTTAGCTACATTGGCCTCATTCCAAGGTTTCCACAGGTTTCCCCCGACCCCAGCTGGTTCTTGTTACCTGTATCTGATGTTTCATCCTACTAAGGGCCGGGATGCAGTTACCCCATGAAAGCAATGGGTTTCTTCATGGCTTACCTGACTATCTACCTCCATATACCTACAGGTAGCCATAGTTGTGTTCAGCTGATGTCACCAGAACTTCTCTCCCCTTACCTGCCCGAATGAATAGAACTTGGGGACATTTTCCCAAAAAAGGGTAACTTTAAGCAAGTAAAAAAAAAACAAAATGCCAAAGAATTTTGGCTTGATCATTTTTCTCTCAAGAATGAGAGTAAGTTTCTTTCTCTCATTCTTGATTACTCTGTTTTTCTTATCTCCTTTTTTATTTTTGCCTTGAATCCTCTTTATTGCATGGAAATAAACTGATTGTCATACCCACTCATATAGGCTTTTTGCTAATGTTTCCCACTATTGAATAAAAAGAAAAGTAATTAGCAGGTTTCCCACCATTTTATTTTTTTTAAATCACTGAAATTCATTTTGTTTTCATTTCTGCCCCTCAAAACGCAATGCAAACAGAACTCCCAATGTTGAATGAGGGCTTATGAGTTGCTCAAACTGTTATAGGAGCCTCTCGAGTAACATAACTTCCTCATGCGGTCAGGGGTTCAGAAGACTCCAAAGAGGACATATAAGCAAATTCTGGGGAAAAGCAAGAGTTGTTCATTGGGATTTAAATAAAGGTTCTCAAGCAAAGGGTCCATGAGACAAAACTTGTCTCAAGACCAGGCTTGAAACGACACGGTGCATGCTGGGATCGTGCTGGCACATGAGATGCTGGTGGAGTAGGGGGTGTGAGGCCAACCACAGAGCTCAGTCGGGGGCCAGACACCATGCTCATGATTTAGGGTCTTAGCTCGTAAACCTTAGGTAGTGACATGATTGAATTGCCATTTTAGAAAGCTAACTCTGGTAGCAGAATGGGAGAGTGAAGACAGGTAAACAGTTAAGAGTCTGTTAAAATAGAGAAATGAAGAGGGCTTGAAGTAAGGCAAGAGCAGCGAAGTGGTAAGGTGGGAAAAGGCTTTAGAGAAATTTTTGGGTTGACAAGATTTAAGGTCTCTGGATTTGAGAAAGAAGAGTAAGTTTCCGGTTCAGGCAACTGGGTCAGTGGATGGTGCCCTTAAGGAGTTAAGGAGAGCCAAGTAACACAGGCTCAAATACTAAAGGGAAAGAATGAACTGAATTGTAGATATAGTCCATCCAATATGCTTATGGGACCTTGTAAAGGAGATTTGTTATAGAAAGTTGGAACATGAATCTAAATTTTAGGATAATTGTGGAAATATAGATTTGTGGGGAGTGAACTCTATCAATTTTAGGAGAAATGTGGAGTTGTAAATTGGTGGGGATTAAGCCACAGTTGAAGTGTCAGTTAGTTTTTACTTTGTGACAGACCACATTTATTTTTTCTTGTACTTCTGTGAGTTGGCTAGGTGATTCTTCTGATTTGGCTTAGCTGGCATCTGCAGTCAGGTGGTGGCTTAGATGAGACTGCATGCATAATTTAGGATAGTGTCACTTACGTGTCTGGTGATTGACAGCCTAGTTTAGGTTGGCCTCAGCTAGGAGGACTCACCTCTTCTCCAGATGGTCTCCCATCCTCCAGTAGACTGAGCTAGGCTTCGTCACATAGTTCCTTGGGGTTCCTTAGAGCCACTCGGGCAGCCACAAAGGGCAAATGCTTCTCAAGCCTTTGCTTGAATCACATTTATTGATATCTCTTTAGCCAAAGCCATCCACATGTCCAATCCCAGAATGAGAATGAGAGGAGCTAAGGAGGCCATTTTTATAACACAGTTGAGCACATGGGAAGAGCAAAGAGGGTCACAGACAGAACCTGGTAGCTTAGCATTTTATAGTCCAACAAGATAATGGGGGTTGTAGAAGTTTGACAGCTATCTGGTCAAGGGATTAAGAAACCAAAATGAAAGAAAAGAAAGAGTGTTGGAGAAGTGAGAGGAGAAGGAAAGAGTGAGGTCAGTCAAGTGCCACAGAGAGGTCAAATTAGAAAAAGGTTGGAGCCAGACATGGTGGCTCCTGCCTGTAATCCCAACACTTCAGGAGGCCAAGGTAGACAGATTACTCGAGCCGAGGATTTCAAGAGCAGCCTGGGTGACATGGTGAAACCCCATCTCTCAAAAACATGAAAATTAGCTGGGCATAGTGGTGCTTGCCTGTACTCCCAGCAACTCAGGAGGCTGAGGTGGGAGGATGACTTAAGCCAGGAGATTGAGGCTGCAGTGAGCCTAGATTGCACAACCGCACTGCAGCCTGCATGACACAGTGAGACCCTGTAAAAAATAAAAATAAAAAAAAGCAAAAGAAAAGAAAAGAAAAAGGATGAAAATTGTTCAGTGTTTTTAATAGATAGGAGGTCACCTTGGTAGAGGGTTTTGAGAGGGGAGAAGCCAGATGGTGATTAATGATGGCTAATAAAGACAGAAGATGGAGGCCTTTCTTTCAAGGTTTGACTTACAAGTTAGACAGGAGAGTAAATGAAACTGACTTTTTTCTTTTGTATCTTATTACCTTGTTTTGTTTTTGTGTTTGTTTTTATTTTTTTAAAAAGATGCCAGCTAAAGGATAGGATCTCTAAATTTAGAGGTACTTTTTCCATATCTTTAATGTATGTAGGAAACATAGTCTAGTTATCACCAGTTAGTTCTGCTGAAGCTTAGAAGTATTCTTTAAATAGTGTAAATAATTCACATCAGCTTATTCTTTTTTTAAAATGCTCTCTCAGCAGAATCATGCTTATTCTTTATGTAAAAGCAATCACTTTTACTCTTTTATGATCGTAGGATTAAAGGTTATAATTTATTTTATTCCTAGGATCGGAAAATAGAAGATCTTCGACAGTGCCTGAGCAGGTACAAGAAAATGCAAGATACTGTGGTACTGGCCCAAGGTAAAAAAGGTAGAGCGTAGTTCTAAAAGTTTTTCTACTTTGCATGATTCTGAGTGGCTATAAACTTACACATCAGTCTCAGTTTCTTTCCTGGATCATACCCATTGTCACAAATTAGGTAGCTCATTCGTTAATTGAACAATTAGCAACTACACTCTGCCAGAAAGTGTCCAGGCTGAGGAGTGAGTGTATGTAGAGTCATTGGTCAGGGAGCGCCTCTTTAAGGAGTTGAGATAGCATTCCAGAGAGAGAAAATGACAGCATATGCAGAGAACCCAGGGAAAAAGAATGTGGCATGCCTAAGAGGAAGAACATCAGTGCAACTGCAAGGTGGTGGGTAGTGGGGAGAGGGGATGAGATGAGACCATATGATGAGCAACCACTGGTCGTGCAAGGGGTAGAGTTCAACCCTTGCTAAAGTGCAGAGGGACTCGCTGAAGGGCTTTAAAAGTCAACAGTGGCCAGGGGTGGTGGCTCATGCCTGTAATCCCAGCACTTTGGGAGGCCAAGGCAGGTGGATCACCTTTGGTCAGGAGTTCGAGACCAGCCTGACCAACATGGTGAAACCCCATGTCTACTAAATACAAAAATTATCTAGGCGTGGTGGTGGGTGCCTGTAATCTCAGCTATTCAGGAGGCTGAGGCAGGAGAATCAATTGAACCTGGGAGGCGGAGGTTTACAGTAAGCCGAGATTGCACCATTGCACTCCAGCCTGGGCAACAGAGTGAGACTCTGTCTCAAAAACAAAACAAAACAAAAAAAAATAGTGGTCAGCACCATGATCTGTGTAACATGTGGGCCATGGAGGGAAATGAGCAGTATTGGCAGCAGCAGAAACCAATTCAGAGACTTGCATTATTCCAAGTGAAAAAATCTAGTAGTTACTGATTGGGAATATGTTATGGTGGACTGACACAGCAGTGTAATGAGAGAGAGGAGGAGAGGGAAGAAGGGGGAAGAAATCAAGAAAGACATTTCCAACTAAAGCAACTGGGTAGATGATGGTTCCATTTACTGATATGGGGAAGCCTAGAGAAGGAAAACTGGTCTGGGTAAAGGGGATTGAGTTCAGCTTTGATCATGGTAAGTTCAGAAAAATCCTGTAAGACATGTACATAAAGATAGTTGTGCATTTTTTTTGTATTTATTATTTTATCTGCAGATGGGCCCATCGGCCATCTTTAAATGCGGAGGAAATTTGAAAGTGCTCTTGTTTTTTAGCAATGCATAGGTAGAGTTATCTGCTCTTTTTTTTTTTTTTTTTTTTTTTTTGAGACGGAGTTTCGCTCTTGTTACCCAGGCTAGAGTGCAATGGCGCGATCTCGGCTCACCGCAACCTCCGCCTCCTGGGTTCAGGCAATTCTCCTGCCTCAGCCTCCTGAGTAGCTGGGATTACAGGCACGTGCCACCATGCCCAGCTAATTTTTTGTATTTTTAGTAGAGACGGGGTTTCACCGTGTTGACCAGGATGGTCTCGATCTCTCGACCTCGTGATCCACCCGCCTCGGCCTCCCAAAGTGCTGGGATTACAGGCTTGAGCCACCGCGCCCGGCCGAGTTATCTGCTCTTAATGTAAGCACTGGAAATAATTCTTTTGGGAGTTCCCCATGAAACACTCAGATTTTGAATTTTTAATTTTGATGAGTTAATAGAGAAGGAAAATCCTGCTTTGGATCAGGATTTTTGAAAAAAAAATCAGCAACATATTTTTGTATGCAGGATCTGGCGTATTAGATTTTATAAATATCTGAGTAAGCAAATGAACCTCTAATTATCAATGTTGACTAGCAATTCTCATCTCTCAGCATTTTCCATGCCTTCAGAAGAAGAGTCTCTATTCTATGGAATATTGCAAATTTGTAAGTGATTAATTTTACATATGTATAACATTTAAAATATTGTTTGATTTTATAGAATTTCAACTGTGCAAGTCTTATGTTTAAAACCAAGGAAGAAAAATATTAATTCCTTTAATTAAACTATATTGTAAAACATTTGGAAAATAAAGGAGATAAAAATCACTTGTAATTGCACTGGAATGATTACTATTGGCTTTTTTGAGTATTGTTTCTTTCTAGCTTTTTTTTCCCTGTGCATACAAACATGTAAATAAAAGAAGTAGTTTTCAACCATGTACAGCAGCATAGATTTTCATAAACCATTGAAAACTATGTTCTGTTACAATAAAGAGTTGTCTAAACAGTGATTTCTCACTAGGAGTCATATTTAGTTAATCCTCATGCAATTCTAATAAGACGAAATTCTATTAAAATTAGGATAACATTCTAGTGAAACCTAAATTAAGAAGCTGTGGTCTGATTAAGATCTTTAAACAAGTAGGTGATTTACCATTTTATATTATTTGTAGATTAGAGTCTTAAGTATCATCTTTTTCTATTTTTAAAAAAGAATATCTGGCAGTGCTCTGTTCAGCAGTTAATCCTTTTCATTTCTAGATATGTAAAAAAAATTCTCAAGGTTGCAACTTTGGTGACTATGTGGTTGCTTTTTTCCATCAGACTTTTTTTTTGCTTTAAAATGGCATAAAAGGATCCACTTGAGAGATTAAAGATCATCTGTCTTTTTGCTTTTCCTGTTCTCCTTTCTATGTTTTTTCAAGAGCACAACAGTGATGAAAACTAAGTTTTTCAAATGGGACTTTGTTGCTATTTGGAATTTGGTTTTTGTACCAGGTATTCTTCAGCTTGATTATTTCTATACTAAAATTTGTAAGCTCCTGATTTTAAAACAAAATTACAAGAGAGTTGTTGGAATAAGTTAACTTTAAATTTTCTTTCAATCTGATGACTCAATGAGTATGACTTTGTCTATTAATATCACAGGTAACCCACTGTGGCCCAAGAGCCCCTGGGCCTGGGTGTTCACAGTTTCAGATGCTGTTTCCTAGGTCCTATGTTGTTTTTCAAGGGATGCCAGGAGAAGCTCCAGAAAAACATTTTATTTTCAATATAATTGGGATTCTTATCTTCTTGTAAAAGTGAAATATAAATGAAAACCTGCTGTTCTCTTCTCTTTGCTTTGTCTTTTCCTAGGCAAAGATGGGGAATATGAAGATCTGCTCAATTCCAGTTCCATCTCAACTTTGCTGGATGCACAGGGTTTCAGTGATCTGGAGAAAAGTCCATCACCCACTCCAGTAACGGGATCTCCTAGTCGTGACCCATTTAACACAAGTGTTCCCGAAGAGGTAGTAATAGACTTTTAATATTTCCTTCATGTTGAAGAGACTGTGTTATTGAAAGCTAAAGCACTGTTCATAACATGAAAAACATGGGTTCCTCTCTGTTTCATTACCAACTCAAACAACGTTACATACATACATTGATTTTGGCCACTTCTGATGGCGACTCTGAAAGATAATTGAATAAAATTTTCCTCTGACTTCTTTAGACTTGGAAGAAGCAACTGGAAAGTAAACAGTTATACACTCCTTACTTTGCATCAAACTGGCTTCAAAATATGTTTGTTATCTATTGTATACCACGCCAAAACTTTGTGGCTTCAATGACAGCATTTCTTTTGCTAATGACTCTGCAGTTTGAGCAGGGCTCAGCATGAGCATCTTGTCTCTACTTTATCTGGCATCAGCTGGAGTGGCGTGAAAGCCTGGGCCTGAGTCATCTGAAAGTTAACTCACTCATATGTCTGGTGGTTGAGGCTGGCTTTTGGCTGGGACCTCAGCTGAGGCCCCATTTAGAACAACTACATATGACTGCTTGGCTTCCTCACAGTCCTAAGGGTGAGCATTCTCAGAGGCCCAGGCAACTTTGCATCACCTGTTATGATTTATCTCAGAAATCAAATGGCATCTCTTCTGCTGTGGTCACAGGCCTATAGGCCCACTCACATTCAAAGAGAGGAAACATAGACCCTACCCCTTGATGGACAAATGACTACGTTACATTATAAGGACTGGTAGGATGGGATATATTGGTGCAACCACATTTGGAAAATAGAATCTTTTACTCTACCCTCTAGCTAAACCACTTTACAACCATATCCCATGCAAAATACACTCACCCCTTTCCGAAGACCCCTAAGTCTCATTCCAGTGAGGCATCAGCATCCCAAGATCTTGTCATCCAGACCAGGTCGAGATGTAGGTGAAGCTCCTCAGGTACCGTTCCTTGCGCACAGCTTCTTGAGGACTTTTCCACTGATTTAAGGAGCTGTGGACTTCAAGGACGGTTATTTGCCCTCCACACATCCATATGATGGTTAGATAGGCATAATGTAACAGCAATAGCCACTCCCATTAATAGAGGGGAGCTGGAAGGCTCACAGGTGTCACCAGTCCATAGCACTTCCAAAATCCAGCCAGGCACGTATTGCCAGTCATCTGGGCTATTGATTTTTCCTTCCAAGTCATTCTTTCTTTGCCTGTATTTGCAGATGAGTAGTTTTCTCAGTTTTGTGCCTGCAAAAGTGTCCAAAGATGTTCAAATCCACCTCTTCATTTTCTACTGTCTCTGTCCCTTTGGGTCTAATTTGGGATAATACTTTAAACATTTAGAATTTCATACAAATCATGTTATAATTCACTGTATTAGAGAAGATCCCATCCGCAGCTTCACCATAAGCCTATCTCTAGCTAAGGTTCCCTACAAAGCTACAATGGGACATCCCATTATTTTTAGAGCCTTTGATCATTTTTCAGAGATTGAATGAGACAGTACTACTGTACTCTTCCTAAGGTTTTCTGTTTTTGTTTTTTTTTTCTATTTTTATTTGATTCTAGTCTAGTCCATCTCGAGGTCTTAACAAAGGGTTTTACGGCCACACCCTTGGCTCATCTGAAGACCACGTTTTCCTGAGAGCACTTGTGCTTGATCTTTGCCCTGAAACTGTTTCGAATTTTAGTGTAATTTTTTTGTCTAGAGAGAGAGGGAATGTGAAATAGTTTCATTGTTTAAACAATCTTGACTTCCTTATATTTAGCAGTTCCTTTTTGGTCATTTCTCTTACTTGATTGGGCTAAGGTGGGAGGATCACTTGAGCCCAGGAGTTCAAGGCTACAGTGAGCCATGATCGCAGCATTGTACTTTAGCCTGAATGGTAAAGTGAGATCCTGTCTCAAATAATAATAGTAGAATGTTGAAAGCAAAACTTGTTACTGAAATCTTACATTAAATCATTGCGACATGCAGGGTAGGCTTTGTCATTCTTATTTTACAGAGGGTGAGACTGATGAATGCCTAGTGAAGTGATTTGCTAAGATCACTGATCACTTAGACAAGTGTGTCAGAGCCAAGATTTTAGCCAGGGCTTCAGGTTGTTTGAATTTACTATTATTACCTGGGTATGGTAGCACAGGTTTGTAATCCCAGCTACTCAGGAGGCTACAGCAAGAGACTGCTTGAGCCGAGGAGTTCGAGACCATTCTGGGCAACATAGCAAGGTTCCATCTCAGAAAAAAGAAAAAAAATTACCATTAACTTGCTCAATGATACTTACTAAGTTTTATTCACAATATTCAGTGTCTTATTCAGAATAAAGTTAAAAAATTTTCTTCCTTCAGGATGATTCCTTGATTAGTACTTCATCTATGTAGATGTTTATATTCTGAAATCATTTTGCAAAAATAGAGTTCTGAATACTGATTATGAGATTTTATCAATAGACCATTTAATTGTCTTACTTTTATTTAATTACTCTGTGACTTGTGTTTTGTTTTGATTGATTGATTTTTGACTTTTAATAATTGCATTACAGTTCCATAGCACCATCTTGCAAGTTTCCATCCCTTCATTATTGCCAGCAACTATAAGCATGGAAACTTCTGGAAAATCAAAGTTGACTCCTAAGCCAGAGACTTCATTTGAAGAAAAGTATGTCATTTATTAACAGTGCAATATAGCTGTTCAAAAAAGTAGATCAACCAAAGATGAGGATGTATTGCATTTATTTATAGACACAATTTTTACCTGGAGATGCAAGAAACAGCAAGACATCCACTGGGGGATCTGTAATCAGTTCTGTATTATGGAAATAAAAGGTGTGAAGCAGAAAGTTATAAGAGATGAGGCTGGGAAGGTAGGGTGGTCAGGTTAGAAAGAGAGCATGAGCCAGATGTGGTGGCTCATGCCTGTAATCTCAGCACTTTGGGAGGCCGAGGCGGGTGGATCACTTGAAGCCAGGAGTTCAAGACCAGCCTGGCCAACATGGCGAAATCTCATCGCTACTAAAAATACAAAAATCAGCTGAGTGTGGTGACACATGCCTGTAATCCCAGCTACTAGGGAGACTGAGGCACTAGAATCATGAACCCAGGAAGCGGAGGCTGAAGTGAGCCAAGATCACATCACTGCACTCCAGCCTGAGTTACAGAGTGAGACTCTGTCTCAAAAAAAAGAGTTTAAGGAACTTGGATTTTTATATCCTGGGTCATGGGTAACTGTCAAAGGATTGTAAACTAAATAGTCACAGTCATTTGCTATGAGTCCATTTAAGGATGGATCTGAAGGGAACAGGAAAAGGGTAGCAGTAGTTTGTCTGTAAGCAATTACAATGCTTTGCCAGCATATTCCCAAATTGTCTAGTCTTACATTAGGCCAAATAAAATAGAACATTTTAAAAAAATAGAAATAGCTTCCTTTGCACAATTTTTTGTTTTTGACATACCTGTTCACTTATAACATATATGATGTTTTATTCATGAAGTTAATAATTACCTTTCATTCTTTACATTTTAGTGATGGGAAGATGATCCTTGGTGCTACTGCTGATACCCAACTGTGTGGTAGTCTTTTGTGAGTTATATTTTATTGAATGTAAAATATGTGATTGAGGCTTGAGAAAGAAGAGAGTTCTGTTATACTAACAATAACTAAATATTAACAGCAAATGACTGAGGCTGTTAAATTCCTGAATAAATTAATGCAGCTATAATAATTGGGTGGGGGTGAAGGCAGGGAGCTGTAAGTTTACAAATAAATACTTGCTCATTTGTTGTTATCTCATGCCGGAATTTTGCAGATCTTTAGCCTGCCTTCATCAGTTTTCATTTGAAGTTCAGTGCTTTAATTCATTGTTCTACTGGCATATTTTGAGTCCAGTGGGAAGACATCACAGAGAATGATGTGATGTGGGAAAAGCTGAGATGGGTTTTTTGTACTTTCAGTTTTGTGAGCTGACCTAATATCTATGTTTATCCAAGTGAAAGTCTGGATTAAATTAGGAAAGTGTATTTTCAGAGCAGTATTCAAAGATGAGATTTTTTTCTTTTCTCACTATATTATCTTTTATTTTGGTAGTTGATATTCTGGCAACATATATACAGAAAAACAGAAGAAATGCCTTTTAAAAGTTTGTAAATTTGCATATTTATATTCTGTTTCATAGAGCCAAACACATGACTTCTGTCTCTCTCGCTAAACTGGTCACATATCTCTGCCTTCAATTTTTTAGTAACACCAGCTCTATACTATTGAATACTAGTTACGTGAAAGAGGAAGTCTCTGGATGTTTATAGTGTCATGTTGCCTTCACTATCATAGCAAATGAATTATTATGGGCAGCATTAGGGATTCCTCTACTATGCTTTAATTAGAACTATAAAATGAATTGCTTTGCCAGACTCAGAAAAGTGATTCCCTTGTGAATTAAAAAGTAAAACTTTCATTCTTTATTTTAATTAGAAGGATTAGATTAAATAGTGCTTGAGTATTTTTAAAGTTCCTAGTTTAAATGTTACATGCAAAGGATACACCACTAGTCCATGGAAAGAACTGGCTTATTTTTGAATATTGGCATCACAAGGCTAGTCCTAAGTGTTTTTCCAGCTCTTCTAACATGTGCAGGACAGTTAGAATTATTGGCAGGACAGTTAATCACCCCTGCTTTTCACTAAATATTGTCATTTAGTTAAGCATATAAGTGACTGCCTGATTCCAGATTTTCTTTTATCACCGGGATTCAAGCCACACAATTTTAGTGTCTTTCCAAGATGTTTTACTTAGTGGCACCAGAGCTACTTATATTATTAATCTTAATTGTTATTACTGTTATTTTTAGAACTTCAAGTCTGCAAAAGTCCAGCAGCCTGGGCAATCTGAAGAAAGAGACATCTGATGGGGTGGGTTCTGTGTTGTTGTTGTTGTTGTTGTTGGGTTTTTTTGGTCTGTTATCCTGAGAAAAAAATATTTAGGGATCCTCATCTTTTCCCTTTTTGCAAATAAAACTCTTATGAAGAGTTTGTGGTTTCTCTAGTGGAAAATTACTTGATATTAGAGTTAACAGTAAATATCAAGAAGTATGAATGTGAAGGATTGAAAATACTATGTAAAACCAAAAATGGAGACTTTAATACAACATTTTAGAAAATAAATGATACTAAGATTTTGTAGCTTAGAAGTAGATATAAAATTATTTTAACTTATAGAGTCATATATGACAAATTCAGGATTATATAAAAGATTTCCTTAACAGCCTCACATATTGTTATTGCTTTGAACAGGAAAAGGAATCTATTCAGAAGACTTCAGAGGTAACTTTTTGTCCAAATTACAATGCCAAAATATTTCTACTTCCATTACATGTAAATTGCTTAAATGTCTCCAGCAGATAAAAACTTTCAGAACTGGCCGGGCATGGTGGCTCACACCTGTAATCCAAGCACTTTGGAGGCCAAGGTGGGCGGATCACCTGAGGTCAGGAGTTCAAGACCAGCCTGACCAACATGGTGAAACCCTGTCTTAAAAAAAAAAAAAAAAACTTCCAGAACCTCTAAAACATTATGCTAAGTGAGAGAAGCCAGACACAAAGTTCACGTATGATATGATTCCATTTATGTGAACTATGCAGAACAGATAAATTTGTAGAAATAGAATGCAGATCAGTGGTTACCAGTAGTAAGAGGAGGGAAGAATGGGGAGAAACTGTTTAAGGGGAAGGGGTTTTGCTTTCAAATGATGGAAATGTTTTGGAATCAGGTAGAAGTGGTGGTTGCACAATGTCGTAACATACTAAATGCCACTGAATTGTGCACTTTAAAATTGTTAATTTTGTTATATGAATGTCACTTCAATAAGTTATTTTTTAAAAAACCCATTTCTCCCAATCATGCCACTTCATGTTCTTAATGACCATAACTGAGCTTCCTTGGATGTCCCTAAAAGCCCTTCTTAGATTACCATTAGAATATACAACCAGTGTCCATCTAAAGCAAACATTTTTGTGTGCTTCAAGATGTCATCAACACGTGCTTGATTCTTCTTTCCCCTGATTTTCTTTCCTTTATTTTGAGATAGTATCACTCTGTTGTCCATGCTGGAGTGCAGTGGTGCCGTTATAACTCACTGTAGCCTCAGTTTCCTAGGCTCAGGTGATCCTCCCACCTCAGCCTTTCAAGTAGCTAGGATTGCGGGTATGCACCACCATACTGGGATTTTTTTTAAATTGTTATTATTTTAAGAACAGATGAGATTTGTTATGTTGCTGAGGCTGGTCTTGAACTCCTGAGCTCCAGTAATCCTCCCAATTCTGCCTTTCAAAGCACTGGGATCACAGGCGTGAGCCACTGTCCCTGTTCTGTCCTCTGATTTTCTGTCATTAACCTTGCAAAGATTATAGCCTGATAGGCTACTTCCAGATGTACTCTCTTGACTGTTGGCTCTTAGTACCTGAGTCATATGTGGATAGGATTGACAAAGCAGCCAGTGATGACAGCTCTAATTAGAGTCCTTTTTGTCCTCTCAGTTCAATAAATGGTTAAATGATTTGGGTGTCATTGTTGAGCCATGGATAGTAATACCATTAAATTGTTCCATCTATAAACTTTTAGTTTCTATGATCTGCATATATATAGAGTCAAATAACCACCTAAAATATCTATATCCCCTCACCCTTCTCTCTACTTCTGCAAAAAAAGAAGCAGAGGGCAAGAATTATTAGAGAAGTGAGAGCAAGAAGACAAAAACATCTTTGTATAAAGTGCTAAGAACATACAATGGGAAAGGACACCCACTTCAATAAATGGTGTTGGGAAAATTCAATATCCATATGTAGAAGAATGAAATTGGACTCCACCTGTCACCATATCAACAAAAATAAACTCAAGATGGATTAAGAACTTACATATAAGACCCGAAGCTATGAAACTGCTGGATGAAAACATAGAGGAAACACTTTAGGACATTGGTCTAGGGAGAGCATTTTTGAATAATACTAAAACAATGTAACATACTATGTTACAGCCAGCTCTAATCGCCAATTCAAAGAACTGAAAAGCTCAAAATGAAGTTTCTGACTGTGCCTTCATTTTATTATTTTTGAGGAGAATATTTAAAATAACTGGAGTAGAATCTTCTTACACTGCTGGCATAGACGTTTGGACTAATGCCCGCTTTGTAGAATAATTATATTATATTGGGCTTCTATTGGCATAGTTGTAAGAATATAAATGGTATTACAGCTAAATCTGTGTCATAATTGTTAGAAAAGTCAGAAATCTGCTGCTCCTATTCTGGTTATGTGATATCTCCATGTCTTTTGAGGAATGAAGCAAACAAAATTTAAGAATTTTGTATCCTAAATATTTAAAGCCCTAAACGTATTGATTCTAGATTAGTGATGAACATGGTTTTTTGTTGTTGTTGCTGCTGCTTAAGTAGCTTTCAGAACTGATTTGTTTTCAACTTGTGATAAGGCATTTGACATTGGTAATCAATGTTTTAGTTCAGTTACTTTTTAAATAAACTCATGGATGTGGCGTGAGTATTTGCTGTTAGCCTGGCGTGTGCTAAGGATGCTGCACCTGAAAGCGGTTTCACTATTCTTATCTGCCTCTCAGGACAGAGCTCCGGCAGAAAGCAGGCCATCTGGGACCCTGCCTCCCAGACCCCCAGGGCAGGTCACCTCTGTGGACGACAACCCCTTCGGCACTCGAAAAGTCAGATCTTCCTTTGGCCGGGGCTTTTTTAAAATCAAAAGTAACAAGAGAACAGCAAGTGCACCAAACTTGGGTACGTGTGGCCAGAATGCCTTTGCCCTAATTCTTCCAGAGGAGGAAAGGAACAGTGTCTTCCCTTCCCTTATTCCCTCCTTCATTGATTCATTTCTTTTCCTCAGAAATGTTTTTGAATGACTTTGGGGGAAGTTAACAAAAAATGCCTCAGTGAATTTAATTTAGTGTTGTGAAGATATATAGATTCTCACCCTGCTCTCTCCTGTGATATAAACCTAGTGGAAAGACCTAAAATCAAGATTCCCTCTGACTTCATCATGGCATTTCCCATCTATTGTGATAGTGGATAAATTAACACTGACATTGAGCCTGTGTGTAACATCAGAAGCACAGTGTGGTGCATGCCTCTCCTCGACGGTGTGCATTTGGCAAGGAGGAGTCTGATCTGTGTTTCATTTTGTCATCTCTGTGTTCTCTCCATTGGGCTGCGTGTGATTGTGTGCATTGTTGGGATATCTGAAGATCGTAAACGAAGTGCCAGTGCACCCACCTTAGGTATCGTACCCCTGCATGCCAGCCTTTGTCAGCACTGTGCTCCAAACCAATCTAATCCCTGCTCTTGGCATCTGTGAGCTAGAAAGCAATCTGACAGCAATCAGAAAATGTAGTTCTCTCTTTCAGAGTGTTCTCGCTACCTTCTGCTAAAAAGGATTCTGTAGAGGCTTTGCTTCTAAGCCTAAATGCTGTTTTAACCAGTGCTGGTAACACTCATGTGTGAGTAGCTTTGAGAGGACCTAGATGTGTGCAGCATCCCTCAGAGTGCAGGGCAGGAATGTCCTGGCATTGTACATTACAGCTCTTGCAGCCTTGAAGTGCACATTACCACACACTAACTCCCAGATCCTTACAGTCCGTTCTCCATGCTTACATTTTCCCCGGCCTCCAAAAAGAAATGTGTTTAGCCAAATAAGGATGTTTATAGAAGACATTGAATATTATAGTTTTAGGCTTACGTCTCTTAGGGGAACATTCTTCTGACATATTATTACTTTGAAGATAGAGATAATATTCAGTGATGACAGAAGCAACTTTACTTGATATCTGAGGAGTTACTCCTAAAGTGATTTTAGAAGAGGGACAGCTCAGTTTTCCTCTTTGTAAGGCAGGGGACAACTGGGAAAAAAAAGTTTTCAAAATAAAAAAGAGAAATTTGGTGGTGTTAAGATGAGGATAAGCCAGGCAGCATTTTCAGGGGCACCTGTACCCATCATCATTGAAGAATGTGAATTGGAAAAGTTCTTTTGGGTTTTTCCAATAGGTGCTGTTACCTTACATAGATATCCACCTATCTATTCATGTGGACCAGCAAACGGGACTTCTCTCTCTGTGGATTTAAATGTCTAGAATGAACATTGGATGCATAAAATAAATTGATCTATTCAGATAACTATTTTCAAATAGTTTTTTTGTATCTTTCTTAGAAGAACTGTATTGTTAAGGCTAAGAGGTAAATGCTGCTTATTATAACCTGTAATCACAGCTCTGCTTTGTAGAAAAACCAACTTTCTGCAACTTGTAGATCTTGCTGTTCCTGTGATTTTAGTACAAATTTTACTTTCCTTTATAAAGCATAAAATGTCACACTGAAGACAACAGTAGCCCTTGTGTTTGCTAATATGGGATTGTCCACTACGGGACAGCTAAAAGAACTAAAATAGTTAATGTTTGGAGATCTGAGAGTGGCAAATGTGGATGTGATTATTTTAAGGTAAAATCAACAGGCACTTACTTTATATCAAAAGAAGAATGTATGCATATTCATTTTACTCTTAGTGCTTAGGATATGATAGATTGGAATACATTTCATAAATAAAGAATTGCTTGAACTAGGTAACTGATTTGATGTAAGTGCCAAAGAAGAAGAAGAAGTAAAAGGAAAATGACAAGAAGTTTGAGCTAGAGCAATAGGGACAGTATTAATAAGTATTAACCAAATATCAAATAAGAACATTTAAGAGAGGAAAAGACTTTCAGGGAAATTGGATGAGTTTGTGAAGTCCCAGGTGTCCCAACACACTGAATTGGGACTATTACAGGCATTTGGATATAGAGCCTGGAGAGAGAGAGAGATTAGGTCCAGAGATTTTGATCCTCTAGAGGGCACTTAGAACAGAATCTTAAAGTGGCATGGGGAAGGAAAAAAAAGCAGGGGTGCTACAGCAGAGACACTATCAGATGACAGATGTAGGAGACTCATGTCAAGAAGCAAAAGGAGATGATTTTGAAGGATGTCAGAGATAATCAACAGTACTGTGTGCTGTGGAAAGATTGAGAATAATTCCATTATGAATTCAGATCACTCAAGGAAAGAATATGACAATCCTATCACACTCTTTTAATCTCCAAAGGGGTTGTAATTTTATTAACTTTATACAGTAAACTATGGAACAGAACATGTGTGTTCCATTTTTAATGTTTACAAGGTGCTCTTTGTAAATCACTGATTTATAGAACAATGAGAGAATTCTTAACAGTTCTAAAACCAAGGAGATTAATATCTTATCATGTTCTTTCCGTATTTTAACATTCATTGTTTTTATTCTGCTCTTGGAGTAGCTGAGACAGAAAAAGAGACAGCAGAGCACCTAGACCTGGCTGGTGCTTCTTCTCGGCCAAAAGATTCACAGGGGAACAGTCCCTTCCAGATACCACCGCCATCTCCAGATTCCAAAAAGAAATCCAGAGGTATCATGAAACTCTTTGGAAAGTAAGTAAAGCAGTGAACAAGTGGAATGGGCCCTGTCTTATATGTTGCTTAAAAGTGGCTGAAAATGGGTATGAACTGGTAAGGCCTTTGTAGTCCTCTTATGGAAGAAAGTTTGGATTGTGATGTGGGATTTATTAACTCACTGGGTCTTAGTTAAAGTTTAAACTTAAATGTCTATGTTAACGGCACAAAGAGGATTAGTTCCAGTAGCTGCACTAGTTAAAAACGCTGTGATTAGCAAGTCTAAGGCCTCCTCAGGTCTAATACTGGCCGTGTGTGTTATGTCTTCTACAGACTTAGGAGAAGTCAATCAACTACATTCAACCCAGATGACATATCTGAGTCTGAATTCAAAAGAGGAGGGACAAGGGCAACTGCAGGGCCCCGACTGGGCTGGTCTCGAGACTTGGGACAGTCTAACAGGTGAGAACAGCCAACTGATGAAGCGTCATGACCTCACGAGTCCTGCAAAGTTAGTACTGTCATGGGGTTAAACAAAGTCATTGCTTAATGCTGTCCTAGTGAAAGGAGCCATCATCTTTAGAGCAGTGCAATTTGTCTATGGTTAATGAACATATAGAAGGTGAAGGCTGTGTGAACTAGGGGAGGGACCAGAGCTAAAGCATCAGCAGCATCTGTGTTAGAATGGCTCTCAGACTTAAATTTTACATAGATGGTAATTTTAAGTACTCTAAAATGTAGCTTTGGAAAGATGGGATAGCATAATGGTTAAGAGTATGTTCTAGAATCAGAGCACTTGGATTTGCTTTCTGGCTTTACCATTTTCTACCAACTTGGTGACCTTGAGCAATGGCTTCCGTGCCCTGTGCCTCAGTTCTCGCATCATCATCATTAGTGCCTACCCCAAAAGCTGATCGTGAAGATTAAATAAGTTAATATGTGTTAAATATTTGGCAGATAATAACTGCTCAAGAGACATAGTATACAACAAAATCTATGAAAGCACTTAAAGACAAACATTCTCTCAGAATTCTTACATTTATCAAGACTATATAATATTTTATCCATTAAGACTAAGAACTGCTCCGACACTCTTATCAAAGTTTAGGGCTGGCTCGGAACTACTACATCGACTCACTGAGCATAAAAGGGTGGAGTTGGCAAACGTAAAGTACAAGGCATTGGTAACAAATCTTTTAACAGAATTATAGGCTAGAAACCCTTTAAATACAGCCCCGCCCATACGGGTGGAACACTGGACGCAAGTTTCATCAAGGAGGAAACTCTCTTTGGCCTTCTTCAAATACCAAACAGTTTCATTTGCCATATGCTGTCTTTGAACACACTAGAACTCCTTGTGCTATTAAAAAAAAAAAAAAACACGTTCATCTCCTCCTCCGCAGCCTGCCCCCACACCAGAACAGGAACACTATTTGTGTATCTAGGTAAAAGAAAACAGGAATTTTGCTTTGATTATTGTTTCCTGTCCTCAGTGACAACACACTGCCCTCTTCTCATTGGTTACCATATGGAAAGAAACCATAATTCTGCTGAAGTTAATTCAAATTAGGCTTAAGTTTCTTTCAATCCAACTGAGCTTCCTGTTTGGAAATCCAAACTTCAAACAACGTTGGTTGAAACTAATACAATGATTTATCTTTGTCCAATTCAGTCTTTTTCTGTGGAAATTGCTCTTTCACATTAAATCTTTTGTGTTTTCATTTGAAATGAAGGCAGGTGGTCTTAGAAGATAACTTTCAACTCCAGTACCAATCGTTCCTTCAATGTATCCTAAAAATTAAGCTTTTCATAGTCAACTGTGTATCACCAGGGAACTTCTATGTCTGTTGAATGTATAAGCCACAAGATTGGCTTTGGATTATTTTTCATGCAATTACTCATTTTCTTGTAGTGACTTGGATATGCCATTTGCCAAGTGGACCAAGGAGCAGGTTTGCAATTGGCTCATGGAACAGGGCTTGGGCTCCTACCTGAATTCTGGCAAGCAGTGGATTGCATCTGGCCAGACGCTTTTGCAGGCTTCTCAACAAGATCTAGAGAAGGTGATTGCTTCTCTGTTTTGTTTACACAATGGGTACTGAGAAGAAGACATATGAATGTCGGGTTGTGTTATAGTCCAGAAAGGGCCATGAGTGAAGCCAGTAAATACTCTCTAAATAAAAGGTTTGGTTTTCAGTTGCTTTATGCTTATTTTTTCTGATGGTCTTGGGAGGACCTGGTCTTAATGAGTCCTTATGGAACACTTAAGCCATGCGGCATTTTAATGAAAAGTAATTACAGAAGAATAATTAAGCTCATATTTCTCAAAATCATTGTATGGCTTTATCATTGGCCTATTTTCTCAATGTAATATATGCAATTCATTTCACTTTGCAAAAGGAAAAAAAAACCATACCCTACAATTTATGTCTAATTATTTAAAATTTCTTTCCAATTAGAATATTTTGCACAAAGTAAGAGTCAAATTCTCTTTATGCATGCTACAGTTCCTAGCTTACAAAGAAAATGAGTCACTGGGGACTACCTAATACATCACTGAGCTAATTGTGGTGGGCTTGGCTTTCAGGGACCTTTTGTTCAACAACACTTTCTTAGACCAAGTTAGTATTGTAATTTTATATTGAATTGGGTCTTTAGTGTTAGCTTCATTTTGGAGAAATTTGCATCCTTTGCCAATGGCACCCAGCCTATATAGATAGACTTATAAAGTCAATGTTTATTGTTTCAGGAACTTGGAATAAAGCATTCACTTCATCGAAAGAAGCTCCAGCTGGCACTACAAGCCCTGGGATCTGAAGAAGAAACCAATCATGGGAAGCTGGATTTCAACTGGGTCACTAGTAAGAAGTTTTTATTCTAAAAAAATAAAATAATTATATGCATAGCCGCTTTTTCCTTTTAATCACAAGAACAGGTGTTTTGTGGCATGGTGGCAACACTGGCTTCTCTCTCCTTTAGGATGGTTGGATGATATTGGCCTTCCTCAGTATAAGACCCAGTTTGATGAAGGACGGGTCGATGGTCGAATGCTACACTACATGACTGTTGTAAGTGGCTCACTCCTGGGGTTCGGGGGAGGAAAACTTTTTTTCTCTGAAAAACATAGAAATTGAGTAGGGCAAACAGTGTTTTCAGTGATTCCACCAGAGTTTGAAGGTGTTGCTTGAATTGAGGGGAGTGGCGAGCATATTTGAAGATGTAGCACTTGGTGATTGTGATTGCAGCAGCCTTGGGATAATTTGAAGCACCAATGTAAGCAAAGGGAAGCCTAATTTACACTCTTCAGAAGGTTGATTTTACATGTAATGCATTCAACAATATAAACACTGAAGTGTACACTTTAATTGGGTACATTTTCTGGTATGCAAATTATATCTTATAAATATATTTTTTACTTTTTTGTTTCTTTTGAGATGGAGTCTCACACTGTCGCCCAGGTTGGAGTGCAGTGATACAATTTTGGTACACTGCAACTTCCACCTCCCAGCTTCAGGCCATCCTCCTGCCTCAGCCTCTTGAGTAGCTGGGACTACAGGCCCACGCCACCACACCCAGCTAATTTTTTTGTATTTTAAGTAGAGATGGGGTTTTGCCATATTGGCCCAGGCTAGTCTCAAACTCTTGACCTGAAGCAGTCTGCCTGCCTTGGCCTCCCAAGGTGCTGGGCTTACAGGCATGAGCCACCATACCTGGCCTAAAGATATTTTTTAAATAGAACGTAGAGTTTTGAAGCCCAGGCTATCTCTAAGTTATGTGTTTCTATGTGCAGTGACAATTTGGAAGAGGCTACCCTTTTGGCCTGACATCTTCAGGATCTTGTCTTCTCCCTTCCATTCTTCCTTGAACAACTGTTACCTGAAACCCTATCACCCATCTCACTTCAGCCTGGTTCTGCTACAGCAGGAGTTATTGGGGTTAAAGGAGGAGGGAGGAAGGCCAGACTTTCATCTGGTTCCTTCATTATTGTATTTTCTAGCCTTCCAGCCAATGTATACAACTATTTCCAGCTTTACAGCAGTGGGAAAGATGGATTCCGGAGAACTTGTTTTAGATTCCACAGCACTACTAATATTCTACTTAAAATTCATTAATTAATTTGTTCATTCATTCATGGAGATGGAGTCTCGCTGTGTCACCTAGGCTAGAGTGCAGTGATGCAATCTCAACTCACAGCAACCTCCACCTCCCAGGTTCAAGCAATTCTCCTGCCTCAGCCTCCTGAGTAGCTGGGATTACCAGTGTGTGCTGCTGTGCCCAGCTAATTTTTGTATTTTTGGTGAAGATGGGTTTTGACCCAACTACCCAAAGTATATCTTTTTCAAATAAGTGGAAAGTTTTAAACAGCCAATTTAAGTAGGCATTTCTCAGTATCAAAAAAACTTGGAGTTCAGTTCACGGATTTTTCTTCTCTACCATTGAACCCAAGCCCTTACCTTCGTGGGCAAATCACATAAACCTGTGTGAAATAATATGAATGTGTGTAGTATGTCGCACATTTACTAGGTGTCAAACATTCTTTTAAGCATTTTGCTCATATTAATGGATTCTCAACAACCCTTTTAGTTAATATTACTATTATTGCAGTATGTATACTATATATACATGTTTTTAATACTTTTTATTTTAAAATAATTTTAGATTTATGGAGGAGTTGCCAAAGATAGAATAGAATTCTGTATACTTTCACTCTGCTTCCTCTAATATTAACATCTTACATAATCATGATTACCTTCATCAAAACTAAGAAATTAACATAGATGACAGTATAATCAACTAAACTGAAGAGTTTATTCACATTTCACCAGTTTGTCCAATAAGTTCCTTTTCCTGTTCCTGGATCTAATCCACATTAAAACACATATTTTGTGACTTAGGACTTCTGAGGTCAAATTTTCAGGGTCATTTACACTTTTAGAGCCATTTCACATACGCTGCTTGTGATTTTAAGCTTGAATTTGTTCACATATATACAATATAATTATATAGTATTATATAGAGATATATTATACACATCATACCATAGATTATGTGTGTATATGTATATACACATACATGTGTGTGTAAACACACACACACTCTCTCTCTCTCTCTCTCTCTCTCTCTCTGTGATAATAATAACATTATTATTATCCCTACATTTTTTACATGTATAAAGGAAGGAATCCAGAGATTGGGTAACTTGGTAACCACGTTTCCGCAATTAGCAATAGAAAGTCATGGACAGTTTGAACTCAGGCTGTTTAAAGATCCCTGCTTTTAACAGCTCATGATTATGATGGCAACCCATTCAGTAAATATTTGCCTTCCTATCTAAGTATGAGTATGTTCCCCCCGACAATGTGAACAAATTCAAGCTTAAAATCATAAGAAGTCTGTGAAATGGCTCTAAAAGAGTAAATGATCCTGGAAAATTGGACCCCAGAAATCCTAAGTCTTCAGTTTAGTTGACTGTATTATCGTCTGTGTTAATTTCTTAGTTTTGATGAATGTAATCATGATTATGTAAGACGTTAACATTAGAGGAAGCAGAGTGAAAGGTATACAGAATTCTATTCTATCTTTGGCAACTCCTCCACAAATCTAAAATTATTTTAAAATAAAAAGTTTTTAAAAATCCAAATTAAGAAGAAAATCACCCAGAAAGTCTGTTTTGATATAAAAGAACTCTTAAAAATCCTTCAAAGTATAAAGAATTTCAGAAATAATTAACATTTTAATCACACTGTAAACATTGTGCATTCAGGTATTTTTTAAAGCTGTTAGACTTTAGTTAGATGAACATAACCTGCATTGAAATGTTTGGAATGGGTATCTCAGTCTTAGATTAAAATAAATACTTTTTCTGACTTAGGGCACTACTTTTAAGAAATTAATCCAGAAAAAAACTTAGGAAATAATTTTTTCCCAGTTAATAGCCTTAAGGATTTAAACTGATTAATATTTGTATTCAGTATTTCTGTAGTAGATCATGTTTTTTTCTTTTTTTCACGAGAAATGTTTTATCAGAAAGGTGTGTCTAAGATAGATGTTTTCCTTGTTTATTTTCTGGGTGTGCTTGGAAGTAGACTGGTGTTTATCTTGACACTGCCTGCAATATCACCTTCTTCTGAAAGAATTTGTTTTGGTGTGTTTTCTATATTTGAAAATATTCCCAAGAGCCACAGCCTGGTGAAAATTCTTCCTTGAAGGGGTTGATTGGTAATATATGTATATGTGATACTTATAACTTCATTTTTTCTCTCCTTAATTCTGACCAAAACCTTTGCACTGATTGTTATAGTTTTTCCAAAATGGTTCACAATGTTTTCTAGATAAACTGTAATAATCTAGAGCTATTCAATAGCAAACAGGTCCTTACTAAAAAATTAATCTAGAACTAGAGAATTATTAAGATCAGGGAATAGTATAACAAGAGCACTGTTCTGAATGCCGGGCGCGGTGGCTCAAGCCTGTAATCCCAGCACTTTGGGAGGCCGAGGCGGGTGGATCACAAGGTCAAGAGATCGAGACTGTCCTGGTCAACATGGTGAAACCCCGTCTCTACTAAAAATACAAAAAAAAAAAAAAATTAGCTGGGCATGGTGGCGCGTGCCTGTAATCCCAGCTACTCAGGAGGCTGAGGCAGGAGAATTGCCTGAACCCAGGAGGCCGAGGTTGCGGTGAGCCGAGATCGCGCCATTGCACTCCAGCCTGGGTAACAAGAGCGAAACTCCATCAAAAAAAAAAAAAACAAAAAAAAAAAACAAGAGCACTGTTCTGATTTTCCCCAAAACTATGATGTGCATTAGTTCAGCCTTGGCTAAGAATGGTGGCTTGTGTGTAATCCCAGCTTTTTGGAAGGCTGAGGCCTGAGGACTGTTTGAGCCTAGGAGTTTGAAAAAGCTTGGGCAATACAGTGAGACCCTGTCTCTCCATAAAAAAGATGAGAAGAGAAAACCAAGCCCTGATTATGTTCATCAGCAAGCATTATTCGCTCTTCACCATCTGCTGAAAGGGAGTAGAGAGGGCAGTGTAGTCAATGCCTCCGTGATTTATTTGCAGATAAAGTTCTCAAAACTAAAGAGGAAAGTTCTCAAAACTAAAGAGGAGACAAAGGCATTCCCTATTTATGGTATGTGCAGATCAAGTCAAAGAAAATCACCTTTTGCAGTGACCCAGCAAGTGCTTTTCAAACTGTTTTTCAGAGCTGTGGGGTTCTACAGTCCTGTCTCAGAGCACCTGGAAGAGAGAGAAACAGGTGGAAGCCAGCTTCATTGGCAAAAATACTAATTTGGGGTTTTGGGAAAGTGGTTCCAAATGGAAAAGTGAGTTCTGTTACTGTATAAAAACTTTGAGAACTCTGACAAGCCCTTGGGGCATATTGGTTTGAAGGGCTCTTCTCCTCTTACTCCAGTCTTCTGAGGTTCCCTAAGAAAGTCCTCACTACAGGCCAGCACAGTGAGCTCCTCCTTTTGTTATTTTTTGCAGGATGACTTACTGTCTTTGAAGGTTGTGAGTGTGCTACACCATCTCAGTATCAAAAGGGCCATCCAGGTCCTGAGGATCAATAACTTTGAACCAAACTGTCTACGGAGGCGGCCGTCTGATGAGGTAGCATTTTAATATTGGGGTTTGTAAGCATGCACTTCCCAGGCATGGGACTGTCCATGTGTGTGAAACTAAGAGCTATTTTTCTTGGAGGCTTAAAATCCAGCCTCATTTACTTCTTAGGCTTTCTCTGTATTTTTTCCTTTTTTCTCCATGGTGGTTCCACTTCTGTAACTAAAGCCAAGGGTTCTTTTTAAGTCGTGCTTCTTCCTTTTCTTGGGTGTATGCTTTCTTCCTTTTCCTGACTCCCTAATCCACAGAGATAAATATCTGCAAAGACTTCCTTTTCTGGACGAGTGCAATGGCCCATGCCTATAATCCCACACTTTGGGAGGCCAAGGCAGAAGGATCACTCAAGCACAGGAGATGAAGACAAGCCTGGGCAACATAGGGAGACCCTGTCTCTACAAAAATAATAACAAATTAGCCAGGCATGGTGGGTTCACGCTGGTTGTCCCAGCTACTCAGAGGCTGCAGTGGGAGGATCCACCTGAGCCTGGGAGGTGGAGGCTGCAGTGAGCCCTGATTATACCACTGCAACTCCAGCCTAGGTTAGAGAAAGAAAATTTTTCCTTTTCTTTATGCATTTAGTGGGATGTTGAGTAACTGTTCTCTGTGGACCAGACCTTTTAGACAGAAAATACAGTTTAACATTTAGGATCCCGGTTGTGTGTTCCTATAGAATAGCATTACCCCATCAGAAGTTCAGAAGTGGACGAACCACCGAGTGATGGAGTGGCTGCGCTCCAGTGGACTTGGCAGAATATGCCCCCAACCTCAGAGGCAGTGGCGTCCATGGCGGGCTCATGGTAAGGCTCTGATTTAATTTCAAATTGACTTATTTTGTTGCCATCAGTCTAGTGAGTAGGATATTATCAATTTGTGCTTATCATAATCCTAAAGTCATCTGACCCAACCCTCCCGCACTATTTTTAGTAAATCTTTCCTTTCAGAGTATTTGTATTGATATCCTATAACTCTAGGCCGGATTTAAAGCCAGCTCTTTTTTATCGTCCCCTTCATGTTGAATAACATGTAGCTGTTGTCTCTCATGTGATCATGTTTGAAAACTCCTGCAAGGACACAGATTGTATTTCTGCACATTGATGTTGCATAAGGAGTTGGTTCCCACGGACTGCGCCCCAAAGAGGAGCACTGATATTGGGAAGCCTGAAGCCTGGATTTGAGTACCAGCTCTATCACTCACTAACTTGGGCAAAATGGAGAAAAGATATGTAAATTAAAGATCGAAGTCCATACCCTGTTTACCTCACCGGGCTATTGAGAGGATCACTGGGGATGACCTAAGTGAAAGAGCTTTGCAAATTATAAAGCACTGTACAAACATGTATGATTTATGGTGACTTTTGACAAGCTTAATTTTTTTAAACAGGTTCTAGAACCTCGTTTTAATGTGGAAACAATGGCTCAGTTATTGAACATCCCACCAAATAAGACTTTGCTGCGAAGACATTTGGCCACTCATTTCAACCTTCTGATCGGGGCTGAGGCCCAGCACCAGAAGCGAGATGCCATGGAGCTGCCAGATTATGTCCTTCTAACAGCTACTGCCAAAGTGAAGGTTGGTTCAGGCTCGTACGGTTTAATAATTGCTTGGCGCAAAGACCACTTTGTGTCAGTTACCTGGTTATTCTGTTTTCTGGTGTTTACTAAGTTTTGTGGGTGGGTTCCTTTCCAGCAAATGCAGGAATCCTCAATGCTTAGTTGTCTTAGGAGAAAGATGTTGGCGGAGAGACAGTTTGCAGATAGCAGAGAGCTTTATTGAAGGGAAATAGGGAGCAAAGAGCTTATTGTAGGGAAAAAAAAAAGTATACGAGATGATCCTCCAGGGAAAACAGCAGTAACGATGCTTATTTAAAGGGACAGTGCCCTCCAAAAACCAAGGCACAGTGGGCTGCTGAAAGAGAATGAACCCAAGAGTTCTGTGTTGGGTTTTTATGATGTCCAGTTTTTTTCTTGAAGCTCTTGCCTCTGTGTTAAGTCTCTGTCTTTTTCATCTCATTTTCCCGCTCCTGCCTTAAGTCCTCACCTTTTCCCTGCCTAGTTCCCATCCCAGGTTTGTAGGACCCTCCCTTACTATCGTTGATGCACATGCGTGGGTTGGGTATTGGCTACATTTCTACCTAAAAGCTGCATTGCTTATTCCCACCGCCCCAAAAAGGTTGTTTAGCAGTCAAATCTATATGTATTGTATCTGCATGTCTCTTAGGAATTTCTTCTTTGCCCTCTTCTCCTCTTTATCAGAATGCAGCTAGCTACATTCTGGCAGGTGAACTGCAGAGTGAGCGATTACTGGGCATCTTAAGGGGCGTTTCTTTCTGCATAGGTGTTTCTCCTCCTCTCTGCTCATATCTAGCATGCATGTTTTGGGTGGTTTCTGGGGTGTGAGATTTTCCAGACCACTCTTTTCTCAGGGGCTTCCCCTCATATCTAACTATCTGCCTATTCTGACAAGTTGAAGGAATGGTTGACCCTTGAAGAACAAGAGTTTGAATTGCACAGGTCCACTCCTATTTGGAATTTTTTTTTCCAAGCAAGTGTGGAGGGATGTAAAACCCACATATAGAGAGGCCCGGCTTTTTAGGTACACAGGTACTGCCGAACCATGTACAGATGTTGGTATACATGAGGGTCTTGGAACTAATGCTCTGTGTATACTGAGGGATAACTGAGTATATGTCTTTTAAAAGTATAATAATTAAGAGAATGCATCCAGATAGCTCAGTCAGTAAAGCATCACACTTTTAATCTGGAGGTCCAGGGTTCATGTCCCTTTTTGGGTGCTCCCTCTTAGGCGGACATGGTGGCTTACACCTGTAATTCCAGTGCTTTGGAAGACCAAGGCAGGTGGATCACTTGAGCCCAGGAGTTTGAGGCTGCAATGAGCTATGGTTGAGCTATGAGCATGCCACTGCACTCTAGCCTGGGCAACAGAGCCAGATCCTGTGTCTCAAAAAATAATAATGAAGAGCATGATGTTAGCTTCTAAAACCCATGCATTGGTAGTGCAGAGAGCTCATAACTTGGGTTCAAATATTGATTGCAGTTGTTCTGTTTTTATAAGTCAAGTATAGAAGAGAGATTTCTCTTGTACAGATTCAGCTTGTCTGGCTTACGATTGACCAGCCTTGTAAACAGGAAAAGATACTTAAGAAATGATTCAAAGTGGACCAGAAGAGAATGGATACTTCCTAATTTACCTGGATTTATGGATTATACCAAATTCAGATTACTTTTTCTTCTTTTAAATTAATCCTAGATTCACTCTTCTAAATATGTTATCTCAACCAACTTGATGGGTTATCAGGTCCTCCAGAAATTTGTGCCAAGTTCTTTTTACTTTTTTTTTTTTTTTTTTTTTTTTGCTATCTGCCTGACTCATCCAATGACCAAGATGGAGTTTCTCTTCTAAGTGTTGCTGAAGTTTTCTCTCCAAAAAATTCTTTTAGCAATCACCAGTTCTGTTATGGAAGCAGAATAGGCACACAAGATAATCATAGCCTCAGCCCAAGAAAAAATATAGTAAGGTCCATTTTATTTTGCTAACCTTAGATTGAAAAACCTTGCAAAATTGGACTCAGCCCTGCAAAATCTCGTTGCATTAAGACCTGTCTAATCAAAACAATGAAGCCAGGTGCAGTGGCATGTGCCTGTAATACCAGCCACTCCAGAGGCTGAGGCAGGAGGATCTCTTGAGACCAGGAGTTTGAAGCCAGTCCAGACAGTGACTATCCAGCTAGTTGACATGAATAAGAGAATAAGATTAATTTTCTGAGATTCATAACAAAGATCATTTATCATTGCATCATTTGTATGCCTAGGATGCCCTTTCTTTTTTATACAAATTTAAACATCCAGTTACTTTTCTTTCTACATAGGGTAAATAATTAAATTACACACGTAGGGGAGAGGGGTGATGCAAAAAAAATTACATGTTATCAGTCCTTGATTATATGAATTTTATCAGATCCTTTGAACGTTTTTGTTTGCTTTTCTTTCAAAGCCAAAGAAACTTGCCTTTAGCAATTTTGGGAATTTGAGAAAGAAGAAACAGGAAGATGGTGAAGAATATGTTTGTCCAATGGAATTGGGACAGGCATCAGGAAGTGCATCTAAGAAAGGATTTAAAGCTGGTTTGGATATGCGCTTGTATGACGAAGATGATTTGGACCGGTTAGAGCAGGTAAGTCCAACATTGGATACCTTTTTCAAGTGCTTCCAGCATTCAGACACTAAACAGGAACTTTGTATGCTGTGTCTGATGGAGGATATTTTTTTCAAATAACTAAAAATACAGATATTAATAAAAAAACAGTGAACACTTAGAGATGGCTTTTATGTTCCAGGTACCATCCTAAGCACTTAATGTATGTTTATGGTAACCTTAAGACATGGAGAGTGTTGTTATTCTCATTTTGGAGATAAGGAAACTGAGACAGAGAGCTAAGTAACTTGCCCAAGGTCTTCAGCCTGTCACTCTGGCTCCAAAGCCTGTGATATTTACCTATGTTATGCCATCTCTGTATTAAAACATGTTAGGAATGGACAGGTTATTCTATGTAGCCTTTTCAGATTCAAGTTGTGGGACTGCATATTTCCCCTCTAATCAACAGTCCTTTGGTACTGTTAGCAAAGGCATTAGACTAGCTGTGTCAGTAAAGTGTCTCTTCTGATTTTTCACTTCTGACTGCAGTAGTGAGAGGAGATTATCGCCAGAAGTGTTCTGTTGCTCCTACCCCATTCAGTGCTATTTGCATGATTTCTTCTTAGATTCTTGTTTCTCTTGCTGCACTTTCCCTGAAATTGTGAAAACACATATGTCACATTTTGGTTTGTTCTTTGCAGATGGAAGATTCAGAAGGGACAGTAAGACAGATAGGTGCATTCTCTGAAGGCATCAACAATCTGACGGTGAGTTTGTGAAATGAATTGAAAATGTTCTTCTATAAATGTCTTTTACAACAATCCCAAAAGACCTCCTGTCTCTTGGAGAATGTGTAGTTCTGAGCTCTTGGCTCTCAGTGTGACTCCCTGTCTCCTTGTTTTCCAGCACATGTTAAAAGAAGATGACATGTTTAAAGATTTTGCTGCCCGTTCCCCCAGTGCCAGCATTACAGATGAAGACTCAAACGTTTGACCATAGCACCTGGATGAACATGAGGAGTGCTTACTCTCTTTTCTACTTTCTTTTCCAAATACTCACAGTATATACAACAGGCAACAGATGGTCTATTGTTTGTTGTTCCAACTTCTGCTCCTTGAGTTTACACAGAAAGCAGGAGTAGTGTGCCGATTCTGAAGTTGCCACAAAAAAATAAGACACTGGTGAATGAGAGTATAATTGTTTTTCTTCTATTTAATGTAAAAATCTGTGATATATTATATTTAAAGTGTTGCATTTAAGATGAGTGTTTTACCAGAGTGTTTTCCATTCACATCCACAGTATGGAGGATTTGGGGAACAGTAACCAAGATGTGAATGATTTTGTCACATCAGTGTTCACTGTAGCCACCTAAGTAGGACATCATATGATTTCAGAGTCAATATGTGGAACTTCTTTAAGCATTCATTGTGCCCACTAAATGCCAGCCACACCTCCACTTGCCTCTTATTGTCTTATTTTTATATATTTTTCTAAATATATGTATATATACAGTACATAGAAAATAGAACTTTTATTTTGTGACATAAGGACGATGATGAAAAGATCACGTTTTTGAAACAATGTGGTGATCAGAATGTTCATATACCAGCTGGTTTCTGAAGAAGTCAGAATGATCTTTCTCCATACTGACTTTTAACAATGTTACAATGTTGATCATTGAGGCGAAATTAATATATATAAAATATTCCTTTTTGTTGACACCACAAAATTGTTGAACAGTTTAAGAATTTCAACCTTAATCTTGGATCCCTTTACCTCATATGGAAGTATCTGAGGGACATTAGTATACTTTTTTTTGTTTTGTTGGGTTTTTTTTGAGATGCTCAGTTGCCCAGGCTAGAGTGCAGTGGTACGATCTTGGCTCACTGCAACCTCCAACTCTCGGGTTCAAGTGATTCTTCTGCCTCAGCCTCCCAAGAAGGTGGGACTACAGACACACACCACCACGCATGGCTAATTTTGGTATTTTTAATAGAGATGGGTTTTCACCATGTTGGCCAGGCTGGTCTTGAACACCTGACCTCGTGATCTACCCGCCTCTGCCTCCCAAAGTGCTGGAATTACTGGTGTGACCACTGCCCCCAGCCTTTTTTTTTTTTTTTTTTTTTTTTGAGTGACAGAGTCTCACTCTGTTGCCTAGGCGGGAGTACAGTGGCATGACCATAGCTCATTGCAGCCTTGAATTCCTAGGCTCCAGTGATCCTCTCCCCTCAGCCTTCCCAGTAGCTAGGACAACAGGCACGTGGCTTCCCACCCCACCTTTCACAACTGGCTGATTTTTGAAATTTTTTTTGTAGAAACAAGGTCTCACCATGTTGCCCAGCCTGGTCTCAAGCTCCTGCCCTCAAGCGATCCTCCCACCTCAGCCTTTCAAAGTACTGGGATTACAGGTGTGAGCCACTGCATGCGCCTGACCTGTTACTAACTTGAATACATTCAGAATCCCCTCCCCCGCCAAAAAACATTGTAGAAATAGTTTTTGAGGAAACCAAAAGCAAAGCAGAAACCTTCACAGTATTGTTTTTCTCTTTGTTAACTACATCATTACACCAAAATACTAACAGTCTGCCTAAACATGTTCATTGTTTATTTCTCAGGCTATCAATGAATGGAGTTTTTTTAAAGTTGAATATTTGTCTGAACATTTTATTTCAAAGATCGAAAAAACAGGCTGCAAAATTCATTTTATAATGGCTGTTTTGTTATAATAAGATGTAGTTCATGTTTTTCTATAGCACTGGGCCCAAATATTCTTTTTAAAAAAATATCACTGCAGCAAAAACTGTTACTGTGTTTATTATATTTGTAGGAATATTAGAAAAATATTCTATTTTTTATTCAGTGCTACATAATTATCCATGGTAGCCAACCCTACAATAGACAGGTTTTTACAAACTGAGGTGGAAGTGGGCAGTTCAGTATCTGCCATTGGACTTGATGATAAAATGTATTTAAATATCAGTGGTATTATCTTCTAAGTTGTCAGCAAGCTACCAAGTTATTCATTAAAGAACTTATAATACCAGATTACTATTTATTCATAACTAAAATGATTTGATGCTAATAATAATTTTCTTTAAACTCTACCATTCATTTTTTGGTAACTATTGGACTTTATTTGGATTTTATTTTAATGTGACTAGATGTCACCATTTGAAAAAATCAATTTGTTCTTAGAACCTGGTTGAAAATGCAAGGAGACTGTTACAGATGCCAAATATTTTTTATTCAGGACAGTATAACCTAACTGATATATAATAAGGTTAATTTTTTTATGGTGTATATTATTTACAAAATACACAGTGCTGGTGTTATCATACGAAAGAAATAAAGTTAACTGATAATTGCCTCATTTTTATTGCCGTTATTTCATTTTCCATTTTTCATAGTAACAGGCTTTGTTTCTGATATAGAAAATAACATGATCTGTTTATAAACTGCCATAAATTTGTTTGAATGGAGTTTATAACATGTTTTAACAGATAGGAATTTGAGGCCTTTGTTTGAGAAGCTTTTATAGGAAAAGAAGCAACTGAGCTGAGGAATGAAGAATCATGGCAAAAGGTAAAAGAAACAAAAACAAAAAAATTAAAAAAGAAAAAAAATACTGGCAGAAGGGATATAGGAAAAGCAAATGGAAATGACTCACCTACAGACTGGGAGAAGTTAGTTGTATAAAGAGGTATATGGATCTTTGATGAACTAACATAGGGGGCTGGGCACGGTGGCTCATGCCTATAATCCCAGCACTTTGGGAGTCCGAGGTGAGAGGATTGCTTGAGCCTAAGAGATCAAGACCAACCTGGGCAACACAGCGAAACCCCATCTCTACAAAAAATACGTAAAAATTAGCCAGGTGTGGTGGTGTACACCTGTAGCCCCAGCTATTCAAGAGGCTGAGGTGAGAAGATTACCTAAGCCAGGGAGGTTGAAGCTGCAGTGAGCCATTATCACGACACTGCACTCCAGCCTGCGTAGCACAGTGAGACCCTGCCTCAAGAAACAACAACAAAAAGAACTAACATGCCATGTTTACTTTAACACTTGGAAAGAGGAAACATATCTTGAAAGAGATTACCAAAGATTAAAAGTAGAGTGGATATAACCTAGATAGAACAGATGTTTTGTGTGAAATTCGATATCACTAACTTAAACCAGCAGGAACTGTATGAATGCAAACACCCAGTTAACAAACAGAGACCTAACGTGTATTTAGCTGTGTGTATATATGCTTAACTACACCCAAGGAAGCTGTAGAGTTAAAATGTGAACCATATTAACAGATGGGACTTCCCTGCAGAACTTTTACTTTGAAAAAGAAGTGCTTTGAACTAGATCCACCTGTTTGATATTTGAATGCAGAGAAAATGGGGCAAAAAGCATCACAACAGTTGGCTCTGAAGGACAGCAAAGAGGTGCCCAGGGTCTGTGAGGTGGTCAGTGAAGCTATAGTCCACGCGGCTCAGAAGCTGAAGGAGTACCTTGGATTTGAATATCCTCTGAGTAAACTCTGCCCAGCTGCAAATACTCTGAATGAGATCTTCTTAATCCATTTCATCACTTTCTGCCAAGAAAAGGGAATTGATGAATGGCTGACGACCACCAAGATGACCAAGCACCAAGCCTTACTATTTGGCGCTGACTGGATTTGGACCTTTTGGGGATCTGACAAGCAAATAAAGCTTCAGCTGGCAGTACAAACTCTGCGGATGTCTTCACCTTCTCTCATGGAATCTAAACCTTGTGATCTTTCCAATCCAGAATCAAGGGTAGAGGAGTCTTCCTGGAAGAAAAGTAGATTTGATAAGCTGGAAGAATTCTGTAACTTGATAGGAAAGGATTGCCTGGGTCTGTTTTTCATCTTTGGGATTCCGGGAAAGCCTAAAGACATCAGGGCAGTTGTCCTGGACAGTGTCAAAAGTCAGATGGTAAGGAGCCATCTGCCAGGAGGGAAGGCTGTGGTTCAGTTTGTCCTGGAAACTGAAGACTGTGTCTTCATCAAAGAGCTGCTAGGAAGCTGTCTGAGTAAGAAAGATGGGCTGAGAGAGGTGGGCAAGGTTTATATTAGCATTCTCTGATCTGGATATGTATGATGTGACTGGCCTGTAAGAAGAAAAGAGAAAAAGATTCTAATAAGTAAGCTCACCTGTTTGCATCATTCCAGCATGGGATTTTTTTTTCTTTTATTTTCCCATTGACTGAAAATGATTACTGGGTTCAACATATATGCGTGTCACAATTACAGAGAGAGAAAAAAACCCTGGCTGTAATTCAGGAAAACTTATAATTTAGTTTAATATTTCATTCACTTTTCAGTAATAAAAATGGGAAGAGATAATAAAGTCACATTTAAAGTTTGATTTGCAAAAAGAAAAAAGGTATCTGTTTGAAATACTAAGTCTAGCACTCAAAAGTATAAAATGTGTTTTTGCATCTGTTGGTGGGAGGTGGGTAGGGTAAAGTAGTGGGTAAGGCTATTGAGCAGGTTTAATTAACATTTGTAACACCAGTTGCAAGCCACGCACAGTGGCTTGCACCTGTGGTCAGCTACTTGGGAGGCTGAGATGGGAGGATTGCTTGAGCCCAGGAGTTTGAGGCTACAGTGAGCTATGATTGCACCACTCTAGCCTGGGCAACAGAGTGAATCCTCATATATATATATATATATATATATATATATATATATATATATATATATTTTTTTTTAACAGTTTTGGTTGAGGATTCCTGAGAAAAACAGCGTTCTTCTCCTCTAACACTTAACCTACTCTGCCTCCTCCCTATCTGCTGTCTGTGCACTGAGAGGACTTTGATGGGATTTACTTTGAGATTCACTTTAGTGTTAGCTCTACCTATGATTTAAAAACAGTGACCTATATAACAATTCCTTTTAATAATAATATTTGTTTAGCCTTTGCGGTAAGGAAAATGTATTCACATATAATAACCATTTTTGCTTAAACGCCAGTGTGGAATTATAACAGTACAAAGAGGAATCACCATTACGTATTGTACTTATAAGTCAAGTCAGATGCTTTACATATATTAGTGTAATTTGCATGTGTCTTCCATGACTCTAAGAGGTTTCTATTTGCCAAATTAAAGAGCTTAGATAACTCATAAATCTATTAGGTGACTCAACAAAAAAGTAGTCTGTCCAGTTACAAAGCCCATACTCTACAGTCACGTAAAGAATATTCCCTGTAAGCCTATAAATTATGTTAAGTAAAAATTGATTTACA